TGCCCCTTCTGTCCTTCATCTCTGCATTTTGCATTTCCCAGAAAGAAATTGCTCTCACGATTTTCTTATAGGTACTTCTAGATATCTATAGTAGTATGGATATAAACCTGTGCCCTGATGTGCCCAGGGACACACATGACATCAGATTATAGGCATGTGTATGTGCATGTATGCATTTATGTTGTGCATTGATTCAGTACATCACACAGCTGAAAGCACACGATGGTCAGCACCCTTCTGCTTCTGTCACTTTAACTGTGTAATATGGAGAACTTCCCTATTGTCCATATAAAGTCACCTGTTTGTTTAAGCAGCTGCTCTGGTAGGCATTTAGTTTGTTTCTAATCTCTCTGTTAAACAGGCTGCACTGAATAGCCCTGCAGTGTGACATTGCCATCATCAGCACCCTAGGGGTGGTACATACATGGAGAATAATTCCTACTAGTGGGATTATTCAGAGATGGGGCGGGGGGCTAATGCTCCACAGAGACTACCTACAGGATCTAAATTCTCCCCTTGTTTTTTAACCCAGAGTGTCATCATATTCTTTACTCTCTGCCAATATTTTTTCTTGATAAGGTAAAAATTGGGACCTCTATGAGAAATTACATTTTTCTTTGATGACCATGAATATCTTTTTACACATTGAAGAGCCTTTTGAATTTCCCTTTGTATGAACTGTCTATTCATGTCCTACATCCATTTCTCTCTCAGGCTTGTTTGTTTTCTTTTTGTTGTTATGATTTTAAGCTTTTGACCTGTCTACTCTCCAAGTTTGCTGTGGTTGGTACCAGTCAATGGAGGTTTTTGGTTCTTGGTAGATCTGTAAAGCAAGAATTCAGAGCCAGCAAAGAGGATAGGGGTGAGGCCAGTGTATTTCCTTGCCAGATGGTGGTGATCAAAGGACTTGGTGACTGTGGGAACACTCTAGACATCACGTAGCAGTGTTTAGATGCATCAATGACACAAGCATTTGCCAGACTGAGGGGTGGTTTGGGGCCACATGTGGCTCATGTTAAATGCATCTCTGGACATGTGCCTTGATGGTTTTGTTGACACAACCCTGGAGAGTTGTCTTTATGGCTTTTAACTAAAGGGCCATATGGTGAAAGTGCAGTTTATTTTTTTGCTGGTAAATTTACTATTTTTCTTCTGTTCATCTGTATTTCCATTCCAGAAAATGGAACAAGATATCTTCTTTTTCTATAAATCAGCCTGTGGTCCAAGTTTCCAATAAAGATCTAAATGGATACTTAATAAATATTTGACCCAAAAGGCAAATACCTCAAGTGGTTAGCCTTCCTAAAGATACACACATTACTGCAGCATTTCTCAAACAATATTAATAAGTGTTCAGTGATGACCTAAAAATATGCCCATGATCACATTAATTTTGAAAAGATGAATTAAATAAATTTCTTTACTCCAGGGCTTCTCAGAGCCTGTAATGGTTCAACGCATCCATTTCATGTCTGAGAGAGGGATGCAGAATTTTGCAAATGTCTTTTTGACCACAGAACACCGTTTTCACATTCTGTAAGATCTCTGACTGAAATGCTACTCAAACAATTAGCTCAAATCTCAGGAAAAAATCAGAAGAAGACATCACTTTGTTTGCCAATTGATTTGTCTGAATTAGGGCAAACACAGAACCTTAACTGGAAATAGGGTTTTCGATTACTTGACTGCAACAGATTTGTGAAATTAAGTAGAAAGGCTCTTGTGGTTAAATCTCAGATATGAAGACACACTGGTGATTTTCTCTGGGATACCCTAAGTTTTATCAAACACGTCAAATTAAGAAGCCAAGGCCATACCTTGTAACCCCGAGATGCTCCTACTTGAGGTCAGAAACCATGCTTCCTCTGAGACTTCCAAATCAAGTGGACTGGGGGTTAGGGTGTAGTGCAGGGACTAGATAGAGCAACCAGAAGATGGGGGCTTAATTACCAAGTGGATTTACAGAGCCACATGGGGAACCACAGGAAGGCTGGGGAAGCTTGTGACATCCAGCTCTTTAGCAGGATGGCTATTCTTTGGTCCTGAGTATTTAAGATTGATTTCAGACCATTGTCATGGGGCCTTTTCTCTCTTCTCCAGGAATCTCATCTGGTTTTCTGCTCAGCCTTTCTGACATTTAATATGGCATCCTGGTATTCTTAGAGGTACTCTAGAACAATAGTAGCCAGGTTATGTCACCAAGTCATCTGCTAGCTCAAGTACACCATTAAGAGCACATACATTTGTAGATTACCATGAAATAGAATGGATTCAATATTGCCCTGTGTAATGTCTTTTTCTTTTTCTTTTAACTTATTTTCCTTTAGAACACTTCTTGGAGTGGGAAAGAAATGTTCTGATTGCAGACATTATTATATTGCTCATGAGTTGGCTTATGGTTCCATTTCCATTTTCCCTTTTGATAAAAGTGCACTTGAGCAGAAAGATGCCAGGAACATTTCTATTTGTCACAACACAACACTTATGAATACCCGATGAGTGGCAGCTGATTTTATAATTCCTTACTTGTAAATGCTCTTTAATATATTTCCCTTCTCCAAAAAATGGTTGTGCCACACTGGTAAATTTTATCAAAACCTGGTTTACCCACATGTGGATTTAAAGAATCATAGGGAGGGACTCGTGTGCATGCACTTCACCAAGGGAAATTCATGTGCATGCTCTTCATGAGGAGGCCAATGCTGACAGGTTCTGCCTGGGATTTTCTTCTTACTAGATGGTACCCTTGTCTACAGCCTTCAGTAGCAGTGTGTTTGTCCTCCTGAGCATAGTCACACATGGGGGCAGCAGGAGAGAGGTTAAACCTGTTCTAAGCCACCCTTCCAAGTCAGTGCTTAGGTTCCACCAATAGGTCACCCATTGTGGTAGAAAGGAAACAAGTTGAGGATAAACTGCACCTCAGCGCTTGTGGATTTTGCTTTTCCTAGTCATGCAAAAGGTATCTGGGGTGCTATTGTGTGTAAAACAGGTGAATATAAGAATAAGCTTGGCATGTTCTAGTCTTGCCCAAGAACCACTCTAGGAAGGAAAGGAACACATGGCACTCATGGCCTCTGGGGGGAGCAGTAGTGGCGATTGTTGTCCTTCTGGCTGGTGTGGCTGGGATGTAGAGCAGGTGTGTGGGAGGGGGGCTGACATTACCCCTCTTCATCAGAATGTGTTCACTCAAAGTGCATATGTGTCTCATCCCCATGGTCAGAGTCAACCTCACCCCTGGGAGGCTGTGGAGGGACAGCTGAGGATGAAGATGTGTATGCGGGGGGTGGTAGCCAAAAGAACAGGCCACAGAGGGTCATAAAGGATAGCTACTGCTGAGGGGTGAATTTCTGTGAAGGCCCGTGTCCCAGAATGTGACGGGCAGCTGCAGTCACTCCCTCCAGCTGGGACTGTGATTTTCAAGACCCAGAGGCAGAGGCAGAGCTGTCAAAGGACTGCTGTGAGTGAGCAGTGCAGTAGCTTGTTCAACATGTCCAGAGGGGACACCTGTCCAAGAGGGGGATGCTTCAGACATGCAGACACAGGGAACAACTTCATTCAGATCGACAAAAGAGCAGAAATGAACAGCGTGCACAGCTTGGTCCACAGAGAAACCTGGGCCTTGAGTCCACTGCCGGATGTCATACTGTTGTCCTATGAAGAGCATGCTGGGCATGCCCAGCCACCAGGGCAGCAACCACAAGTCTGTAACAATCTCCAAGTGAACCAGGCTCCCTCTCTTGAAGCTTTTAAAGATCTCTGGTCATGACCCTGAGAAACAATGCTACTGGTGAAGTTTGCCACTGGCCAACTTCCTGCTGTAGCTCCGTCTCCCTCCAGACACTTGGAAAGATATTCCTGGCTATGGGGGGAAATGTGAAGCCTCTGTTGGAAGGCTATAGCAGAACCTATATCCTCCCAGCTGGGGACACTTAAGGACATGCCTGGGTTTAAGGCAAAGATAGGAAGAGTCCAGTGACCACAGAGCTCTTGGGAGGATCTCAGGATGGAGCTTGCACCAAGAGCCTCTATGCTGGATGATAAATATAGAGAGGTACACATGGAGGCTTGGACAGAGTTGGGGAGTATTCTGTTAAAATAGGAGCACATGTCTTCCAATGACTGTGAGGCAAACCATCCAGGGAGAATCAGGCTAGCAAAGTCATGTGGGGGAGAGAGGTGGGAAGAAACATTTTATGGGACTTTCGTTGGGTGAGAATGTTCTCCCCCACAGCAGAGAAGCTTTCTCAAGTTCCCTGGAATCTAGACACAGCAATGGAATGGACTGAGTCCATTCAGAACTTGGAAAGACATTGAACTTGATGAACATTAGTCATCAGGGTGAGGCAGTGCACAACACTGACAGGTAACCTCAGGACTGAGAAGTGTTGAATTAGGTGGTGATATCCTTTTCCTTTGATTTATTCATTCATTAAATATGTAATGTGATATAAATTTTACAAACTATGTCAGTAAGATTGAAAAAAAATAATTTAATTGAGCTGTGACCTTCTAGGGCTCTAGTATTTTTGTTTGGGTCATGTTTAGATGAGGATCATTCTTTCCAAATTCTAATGTTCTGTGAACACCTGGTCAAGTCACAACCTGGATATTAGATTGATAGCACTGCTGTAACGAAGTACCACAAACTGGGTGGCTTAAACAACAGAAATTTATTTTCTCACAGTTCTGGAGCCTGGAAGTCCAAGATCAAGGTACCAACAGATTTGATTCCTTCCAAGGATGGTGAGATCAGGATCCACTTCAGGCCTCTCTTGGCTAACAGATGGCCATCTTCTCCAAGTGACTTCGTATCATTGTCTCTCTCTCTGCATCCAAATTTCCCCTTGTTACAAAGACATTAGTCATATTGGATTAGGACCCATTCCAATGACCTCACTGTAATTTGATTCCCTTGGCAATGACCCTGCTTTTTCTATTTACATACTTTTTCTCTTTCTTTTTTAAAGATTGCACTTGGCAAGTTAAAGCGAATGATCGAAAGTACCACGAACAACCTCATTTTATGAACACAAAGTTCTTTTGTATTAAGGAGAGCAAATATGCGGTGAGTTGATTCCTAAATTATCTGTATTAAAGCCATTTTCTCTAGTTGCTATCATGCTTGCCAGCCTCAGACCGCACCTGCCTTCCAAGTAACCACTAGCCTGGGTCTGTTGATAACCCTCTTAGTTGTATAAAATCCATTTTTATTGAAGCTTATCTACCCTGACTATAGGTAGAGAAGACTTGAAACAAGTCACTATAATTAGATTGAAACTTTCCGTAGGTGTGTGCAAAGCTCTCTTAAAAATGTTTTATAAAAGAAGACAAAATAATGTCACCAAAACTTTATGTTGGAAAGTAATGAATTCGAAACAAATCTTAATTACTGATTTTTCTCCCTCCTTTGCCTAGGATGGGTTTAGAGACTTTAAAGATTTATTTTCCACCTAAAATAATACTGATTACTTTTACAATGAAACACCTGTTAGGTGTGGGCTTGAGGGCCACCTAAACAAACCACAACTGGGTGGCTTAGAACAACAGAAGTTTATTTTCTGACAGTTCAGGGAGCTAGGAGTCCAGAATTAAGATGTTGGCAGGGTTGATTCTTCCTCCAGAGAAAGTCAGTTCGGAGCCTCTCTCAACTTTGGGTGTTTGCCACAGTCCCTGGTATTACCTAGTTTGTAGATATTACCTCTGATCTCTGCCTCTGTCTTCAGGTGGCATTATCCCTGTGTGTTTCCATGTCCAATTTTCCCCTTCTTATAAGGACATCACTTTCCACCTTAGGGTTCAATCTAATCCATTATGGCTTCATGTAGATGGTATCTGCAAAGACCTCATTTCCAAAGAATACTCCATTCACAGGTTTTGGGATTAGGACTTGTATCTTTTGGGGGACACGGCTCAATCCAGAAGATTGTCTTATACTCTTTCTTCCATGGTCTTCTTCATTCCCCTTTAATAAAGGTATTTGTGTTTCTGACCTGCTTGTGTTGACATCTGCCTTCACCCCATTTTCTAAGAGGCTGTCATGGGTCAAAGTATTGAGGGCAGGATCATAAGGCCAGTCTCACTTCTGTATCTTGTTCCTCCTTCTGACATAAGACTCCAAGTAGTCATTCTGAGGCCTGGCTAGAATTAAAGGCTTACAGGAAATCAGCATCTTTCTGATAGATGGCCCTGGGTCACTGTAGGCCATGGGATATAGTGACTTTTACAGGTATGTAGATATATGGCACCATTTAGAATAACTTTCTTATTTTTTTCCAACAGAGTAATGCAATTAAAACATACAAGTACAACGTACTCACCTTCCTACCAATGAATTTGTTTGAGCAGTTTAAGAGAGCAGCTAACTTCTATTTCCTGGTTCTTCTTATCTTGCAGGTAATGCCCTTTGGTATCTTAAATCTGTGTGAATCATGATGACTTTCTAACATTAAGTTTGGGACACATAATGTGGACAGTTTTGAAACTGTTCTGTATTAACAGTAGAGCTTTCTACACAAGGAAGTAGTGCCTCACCCACAGAACCAGCTCACTCAGTGTTTGAACAGGGAAGGAAACGCATGGAAATCGATTCTAGTTCTATTTTTTTTTTTTAAGTTTCATTTCTTATAATGTATGTATTGAAACTGATATCCCCAAAGTGAATAAAACTAAAATCTTCACTTTGTAGAATTATTTGTAATGAAATCTATTTTTTTGTGTTTGTCCTCTATTTTTGTACTTAGTTGCCTAATTTCCCTAAGAATATCATTGATTTTTATTAATATTTTGGTCTTAAGTTTATGTTATTATTTACTTCATTTGGAAGTACTGGGGAAATGAACCCAGGAGTAATCAATGACTGAGCTACATCCCAGCCCTTTTTATTTTTTGGTTTGAGACAAGAACTGGTCTCAAGCTTGTGATCTTCCTGCCTCTGCCTTCTGAGTTGCTGAGATTACAGGTGTGTACCTCTGTGCCCAGCTCCAAGCTTATATTTTTGCAAACTGGTTTTTAATATAAGAAAAAGCCTTCTTTCTGATTATGTTTTTAATTGTGGCAGAGGATTCATTGTTTGTAAAGCAAAACTTCTATCTGTGTAGAAACTGCTGCTCTAATTGATGAAATGAGTCTGCCTTCAGTACCAGACATGTGGGTCACAAAGACCATGTGTAAGAGTTGGATTTGGAAAACAGCTCTCCTGCTGGGATTCCGGCACTAAAGTTTTATAAAATGGTGTGTCCAGCGGGGAATGAGGTGGAGAGGAGAGAAAGTAGAGAAAAGACACTCAGGAGAAGTGGATACTCAACAGATTTGGTAGAACACAAACCCACTGACTTGTCATAAAGGATGGTCCTGCTGTTGAGGGGCGTGTTCAGACAGGTGTGTGAACAGATTGCAAGGTACTACTGTGTGGTCAGTGGACTACTTTTCCTTTAATTCTTTAAAGGGGGAAGAGATTCACATAGTCACAGTGCTGCGGAAATGACCTTCCTCTCTCTGAGCTGCACCACAGTCTCCTTAAGGTGTAGCCATCCCATCAGGATAATAGCAATAGACTTAGCACTTTCCTTGCCTTTCTTTTTTTTTATTTTTTGGAGGGGTGCTGGGATTTGAACCCAGGGCCTTGTGCATATGAGCCAAGCACTCTACCAACTGAGCTATATCCCCAGCCCTCCTTGCCTGTCTTTTCATTGTTTCTTCACTGGATTCACGTACTCAATGAGGTAACGTAGCCTCCATTTTGCAGAGAAGAACTGAGGCCCAGAGAGGCAAAGTAATTTGCTCCGAGGCCCAAAGCCTATGTGTATAGATCCAAGCAGGACTGGACCTGGGAATTGAATTTCAAATAACTACCACATGATATGGCCCAATAATCAACAGGATGGTCACAAGAAATCTTTTCAAACTTACTTTCCAAATTTCCATCAAGCTGGAAGGCTGTCTTGATACAGGTAGAGCTTCCTGTTAGGCCAGCCCCTTTCTTGGCTGTACCAATAGCAATGATCATGAAGGGAGCACTTCCTGAAGTGCTCCCAAAGATGCTCCATCTAATCACCAGCTTTCAGAGAGGGCCACTACCTGCTGCCACTTTGCCTGCATCACAAGGCCCACAGAAATCACTGTCTGAGCAACTACTCTGTACAGCCTCCATGCCTTCCCTGAAAGTTAAGCATGAACCCCTTCAGTTAATTATGATTCCCACAAAACTTCAGAGCAGTTCACTTGTCGTTATCATGTCAGAAAACCCCCTTGATGTCCAGTGAAAGTCACAGTGAGATCATTTCAGGAGCCGTTGTCCTCCAGGCTCTGTTCCAGATGACCAGAAGAGAATCACCAGAAAGAGGTTGGGTGCTTAAATACCTTTTTCCTATGTGTTCTACAGATGTAGACTTACGTGACGCTGAAAATTAGTACGAGCAGCTTGGAATCAGCCATCAGTCACCTGTAAGTCAGCTCTGCCTTCATGTATTGAAGTCTTTTTTATTTCGTTTAGGCAATTCCTCAAATCTCTACCCTGGCATGGTACACCACCCTTGTCCCACTACTTCTGGTACTTGGCATCACTGCAATCAAAGACCTGGTGGACGATGTGGTAAGAATTTCTCATGCAAATTTCCACTTCCTGCTCTAAGCTTATTTTACTTTGACATTGATGCTTTATGTATTAGGATAATTAAAATAACGTTTCTTCATTTCTCTTCTAAAGGCTCGCCATAAAATGGATAAGGAGATCAACAATAGAACATGTGAAGTCATTAAGGATGGCAGGTACTTTGTCTCCTCAGTTATAAGGATGCAATGTATGTCTGCATATTTGGAAAGAGCTATTAAAACCTGGAAGTCTATGAGTACTTTTCCTTTTTCACCACGAAGCCATCTTTTTTTAGGGGATGGAGAAGGGTGTACTTGGAATTGAACTCAGGGATACTCAACCACTGAGCCACATCCCCAGCGCTATTTTTTATTTAGAGACGGCGTCTCACTGCATTGCTTAGTACCTTGCTGTTGCTGAGGGTGGCTTTGAACTCATGATCCTCCTGCCTTAGCCTCCCAAGCCATTGGGATCACAGGTGTGTGCCACCTTGCCCGGCTCCATGAAGCCATCTTAATTTACAAAGACATTGGTCCTCCTTCATGGCCTGTAGGCTAGACCCACATTGGACTACGTGTGAATGCGTGTTGGGCTTCACGTTTGTCAGCACATCAGCATTTACATGACTCCTTCAGCCTGCAGTTTGCTGCTTTCACTTCCTTGTTCCCGGGCTTATCCCTTCAGGGCTATGCTCATACAGGATGTCATGACACTTTTCCTGGTCCCCCAGCTAAAGTGATTCCACCCCCATACTTCCAGAGCATTTTATTTTCATTAGGACATAAATTGTATTGGAATTATTGATGTGAGCGTCTCCTCTTTGTCTTGCACTGTAAGTTCCTCCAGGACACTGTCCCACCTCCAGCCTGCACAAAGTGCTCAGTCAATGTTTGTTCAGTGAGTGCAGTCAGCGGTGACCGAGACACCAGACATCAACTCAGGGATCAGTAATGAGTTGTTTCTTGAGCAAGAGCCTCAAGGTAAAATTCAAATTCAAGTGCTCAAAACGGTGACTGAGGCTCAAAAACTTTTTAAAATGTGTTGACACTGAGGAAAACAACCCAGGTAGCCATGCTTTCAATCTGTGTCTAATTCAAAAATAGACACCAATAAGCTCGAAATCTGTTGACATGGCTTTTTTTCCTCTTGCAGATAAATAGATTCTGATCTAGAAGTTCCCTTCAAAATCATTTAGAATCAATATTGTGAATAGTGGTGAGATACATAAACATCACACGACTCTGTTTAGCTAATGGCATGCCTAACAGCACAGGTGGAGTAGCTGTGAGTTGACTTGAATTTAGAGTTAGGTCAAATCTTGATCCCTGCAGTGGGTCAAGACAGTAAGAACTTGGGCATCAGTGGGGCAGGGCACAGGGCCTCCTCATGGGGAACCAGAACATCACACAAAACAGTCCACCAGATAGCGTCTAGTACTTTCAAAGAGTTGGGACAGAAAGGTGCTAATGTGCCATTTTTTTTCTTTTTGGGGTGCAGGGGTACTTGAAATTGAACCCAGGGGCACTCAACCACTGAGCCACATCCCCAGCCCCATTTTGTATTTCATTTAGAGACTCACTCTCACTGAGTTGCTCAGCGCCTCACTTTTGCTGAGGCTGGCTTTGAACTCACAGTCCTCCTGCTTCAGCCTCCTGAGCCACTGGGATTACGGGTGTATCCCACCGTACCCCTCACCATTGTGCCATTTGTAATTTCATATTAAACACAAATTTCTAATTTACACTCTTGGAGATATTGAAATATGAAATAATTTCATTTGTTAAAAGATAAGCCAAGTTTAAAAATTCCTGCAGTTTGGAACTATGTGATAAATTCTCATAAAATTGGGAAACTAGGGCATAAAGCATATATATATAACATGACTTTCCAATCTCCAGGTTTCTTTTATCCATAAACAAATTGGAAGACAAGTATAGTAATTAGATTTCTGTCTCCAAAATAATTGAAATGATTACTTATGGTGGGTTCATCATGTCCATTAGTTGTATCTTTTGTAGTTATACAAATGTTTGGAACTTTTTTAAATGTTGACTTGTTAGAAATTTAAATGGGGATTTCCTATGGAGTTTATTACTGAAGATAGTCATCTTTTACTTTTATTTATTTGTTTATTTTTATCAATATCCTCATTAGATTTATTGTAAAAGTGGTACATACCCATTAAGGAGATAATTTAAACAATGGAGAGGAAGCCAATCTTAAAGCCCCATGAGGATTCTTGGTGACCCATGGAGGAGCACTCATGTGTGTCTGTCCTGGGGAGTGAGCAAGTGATGGATGACCTAGAATAGGGAGGACAGGAGGGGAAGCAGCCCATGAGCAAGACCCAAAGGGGCCGCCAAGTATACCCAGCCACGTGTGGACATGGCCCCCAATGGACTCTTCCCTGCATGAGGCAGGGTGGAAAGAATATCTTGATGTATCGGTCACATCACGATGCTTCCGGCAGAGATGAATATGATTCTCAAGACCACTTCCAGTACTTACATCATTCAAAGGGTGAACTTCTAGCCAACATTTTCCCTGTGATTTACACAACTTTCAGAATCTTTGACATCTATAAAGAATGGCAGGTCCCTAGCCTAAAACTTAGAAAACCAATTAACTGTTTTTTTTTAAACTGGGAATGGTACCTAGAGCTCAACTGTTGAGTGATTCCCCAGTTCAACTAACACTATTTTTTAAAAATATTTATTTTTTAGTTATAGTTGAACACAATACCTTTATTTATTCATTTTTATATGGAGCTGAGGATCGAACCCAGGACCTTGCACGTGCTAGGCAAGTGCTCTACCACTGAGCCACTTCCCCAGCCTGACAACTGACATTATTTTTAACGCTTAGGTTTAAAGTTACCAAGTGGAAAGACATTCAAGTTGGAGATGTCATTCGTCTGAAGAAAAATGATTTTATTCCAGTAAGTGAGCAAGTTCCTTCTCTCTCTTGTCCCTGCCCGCCCCTGGCTCATGATCAGGTCACCTTGGGGACCCTGTGTGATAGCTGCCTTTTGTTTTGAACAGGCTGACATTCTGCTGCTGTCCAGCTCTGAGCCCAACAGCCTCTGCTATGTGGAGACCGCCGAGCTAGATGGGTGAGTGCATCTTGGATGAGCCTGTTTCAGAGTCGGCCTTGAGGGCATGGTCATTACTTTCAGATCTGTGCACTCTGGGCAGGGGACCCTGCCGTCTGGCTCTGCCTCTGTCACTTGCTGCCAGTCTGATAGTGTCCCCTGTACACTGGCCTCTTTTCCCCACCCATAGAGTGGACTGCCCACCTTTCCCTACTTCTCAAGGAGACTACGTTCCTGGGCCCCTGGTGAATTGCTGTGGTGTCCAGACAAATGGAAGTAACTGTGAATGTTATTATCTGTTTCAGAGAAAGGAAAAGGTTTTTTAAAGTCTTTGCCATTAGGTAATTTCGAATTCTCCCTTAGTTGCTATCACTTCAGAGAGAATGATATTCTGTTTTGGACTGGTTCTCAATACATTTATTAAGTGCTTAAGAGATCACAGGCACTTTGCCTATTAGCTTATTTGATTTTTTAAATAACTTTATGAGAAGAGCATTATTATTACCTCTACCTTCCCCATGAGGAGACAGAGGCCCAGAGAGATGAAGTAGCCTGCCCAAGGTCACACAGTAAGTGGCAGTTGGAACCCTGCTCCCTGCACCCTTTGCTCTTCACACCCTAGAGATGCACCTGCCACTTATGGAGAGCTGGAATCATGTCATCGGAAATGAGGTCTTTCCTTCCTCTGTTGAACAGTTGGTTGACATTCAGTCTTAGCAATAATCATCCCACCAGCGAGAGACACTAAAGCTTTACAAAGACATGAAAGGAAACCTAATGGTCAGCTTCCCAATAGCTGGAGATTCCCCTATGGGTGTTTGTTAAATGTGTGAAGGGCTGTGCTCCCTAAGAAAACTGCCTTGCTTTGTGTGTGTGTGTGTGTGGTGTGTGTATGTGTGTGTGTGTTGCTGGGAATTGAATCCAGGGCTTCCGCATGCTAGGCAAACACTCTACCACTGACATATTCTTAACCCTTCTTATCTTGAGGCCGGGTCTTACTAAGTTGCCCAGGCTGGCCTTGAACTTGCAATCCTCCTGCCTCCGCCTGCTGAGTAGCTGGGATTGTAGGTGTGCCCACAGGGTCCAACTCGGCCTTCCTCTTGAGAGCATCTGTCCCCACCTGCTGCCATGTGTCCACACACAGTTAACCTTCCCTTGCACTGGGGATGGGGTATACCAGGTTTGGGGGTGAGGCTGCTACCTTCTTTCCCAAAGAAAAATATTTTTCAGAAACACAGGTTTCATTTATTCATTCTAGAAAATGGGCTGACAGAGGCTAAGTAGAATTTCTATAACAAGTTTGTTTTGTATAATCACCTTAGTGCGGGTAACATATTAGAAACTACATTTTTTTACAAAACAGTCCATCAGAGCCTGCTGGTGTTAACTAGTTCAATTAGTAAAAAAGGAGGCTGTGGGCGCGCCATGTCCTAACTGCCACAATAGCAAACCACAAAGGAGACCAGCACTTCCCAGATAAGGAATTCTTCTCTAGTTCAGGGTGTAACCTCATTCAAACTCAAAGTTCCAAGATGAAAAGAGTTTAAAGCTAAAACAAGCTAATTTACTTCCAGGCATGCCTAACGGAACTTTGTGCAATTTTTTTTAATGTTCCTTTTTGAACTCCAAAATATGTTCATTTAATTTTTTTTTTTCCTTCTTTCTTTAGAGAAACCAATTTAAAGTTCAAAATGGCGCTGGAAATCACAGACCAGTATCTCCAAAGAGAAGATAACTTAGCAACATTTGATGGTTAGTACAAAAGGCATCTTACTTTGTTTTAAATGTTATTTATTTGATTTGAGCGTCTGTTGAACAAGTCTTTTATATGGGATTATGTGAACCGTATCTTTTTTTTTAAGGTTTTATTGAATGTGAAGAACCCAATAACCGACTAGATAAGTTCACAGGAACACTGTTCTGGAGAAAGAGAAGTTTTCCTTTGGATGCTGATAAAATTCTATTACGTGGCTGTGTCATTAGAAATACTGATGTCTGCCATGGACTGGTAATCTTTGCAGGTACTTTCAGAGTTTCTTAGAAAATTAATCAGCTATGAGCTATTAAGATTTAAAGTAGGAAATTGCTTTTCTGTCCTTTTCCCCTTGAAGCCAAAGAAAGTCTAATTTTATTGACATGCTAGTTAATTGATTTTTCCCAATTGTTGATCCCACTGAATTTTCCATTTTTAGGTGCTGACACTAAGATAATGAAGAACAGTGGGAAAACCAGATTTAAAAGAACTAAAATTGATTACTTGATGAACTACATGGTTTACACGGTATTTATTTTCCATTTCAGTGGATAAGAGGATATACTGCTGTCTTTTGCTCTAATTTTATTGTCTACTTTTCTAATGCAAGGAAATCTCTTTAAATGGGATAGAAATACGCTTGGGCACTCCACGCCCTAATGGGAAGTGAGGGTGGAGGGGAAGAGCCTTCCCTTTTTCTTGGAAATGCCACATTTCTAGCAAGAAAATCCTCCAGGAAAGGGAAGTTCTGGTGGTAGGCTCCCCTGAGTCCTTTGGCTGGAGGGAGACCAGTTGAAAAACTAGGGAAATAAGTGGAAGTCTTGAATAAGTCCTGAAGTCTTGATTTGATCACTGTTTGCTTTCCTCTTATCTTGTTGTTGGTTTTGTGCAACATACACCATATAAATCCGATTGTAAGGCAAGGCAAAAGGTGTGTTGAGAGGGTCCTCAAGACCACACCCACCTTGGATGACAGACTGGGAGCACTTGTAGGATTTAGCATATAGTTTTACTAAGGCTCTGCCTTATTACAGCAAAAGGATGCAAGGCAAGATCGGCAAGAGGCATGTGATCCAAAGTCCAGAGGTACAAGCTGTCGAGGGGCCTCCCCCAGCAGAGTCACACACAAGAGACACTGAATTCTCACAGTAACAGTGTTTGACAGCAATGTGAAATGTTGTCTTCCAGGGAAGCCCATTAGACACTCTTGGCCAGGATTTTTAATATGGGGCTGGGAATGTAGGTGCCATCTGCCTGGCATGCACCAAAATTCCAGACTCTCCAAAGGAAAGCAGGTGGTCGGCATATACTGTGTCGTTTGCACAGTTAGGCAGGAGCCACTTTTATCAGAGAATAAGAAATAAGGGGCCAGGAAAGCCTCCCATAATCTAACTTCCCAGATGCCAGCCCAGGGTGAGCCTTGCAAGCAGCACTTTTGGGGAGACCAGTCTTAGGCCTGCTGAATTAATTCTTCTCTGTGTGTAGGGTGGCCCCAAATATCAAGCAGTTCTCCAACTTCCTAAATAAAGTTGTTGTTCAAATACTTAGTCTTACATAAACCTTCAGGACTCATAAAATTAGAATTCTGTAATTGCATCTACCTATTTAAAATCATATAAAAGTAATATGGTGACTTAAAGAACTGCCCTTAACCCTGCTTTCATATGTCATGAAAATTTAACTTGAACTTGGCCCGTTCACCCTCAGTGCCATCATGGTCATGACTAGAGCACCCACAGAACCCATCATCTCTCCTCTGAACCAAGTTGTGAGTTATAGCACTTTTGAAATCTGTGCCCAGAAACTTAAATTTGTCCCTGGAAATTTTATCCCCACTCCCAAATACGCAAACCACACCAGGACAGTTGACTTTTTAATTTGTCTCTTAAGTATTTGCTCAACATTTCTGCAACATTATTCTTGTTGTATTGCTTCTTGATCTTGTTTATAATCCTTACGATATTGTACTTTCAGGAATAATTACCCAAATACGGGTGGCATTGCCCTGCCTTTCTTTCTTTTCTTTTTTTAATAATTTTCCTTCAGTATTTTCCATAAGTATCCCAATTCAGCATTGTTTGAAGGTGTTTCATGATAGGGCAAGGTATTTTCCCAAACCACATGTTATTATTCAGAGTCAGAGTAATTGGGAGAATGCCTGTAATATAAAGTCTCCAAGAATTTCAATATAAAATACCACCTTCTCTTTTGAAAGATAATTTTGGGGATGAAATCCTTAAGTGTGTAAGGTAGAATAAACCCATCAATCATAACAATCAAATAGACTTTCAGAGCATTCTCATGGTACTCTTTTAAGTGCATTATTTTTACAGACTACCAAATTATCTTAAACACAGTGTGGACATGGTTAGTTAACATCTGTGAAGTGCATCAGGTTGGAAATCCATCTTCTCTTTTTTGTGTCTTCTAGATCTTTATTGTTCTCATTCTGCTTTCTGCGGGTCTTGCCATCGGCCATGCTTACTGGGAAGCACAAGTTGGCAATTATTCTTGGTACCTCTACGATGGAGAAAACATCACTCCCTCCTACCGTGGATTCCTGAATTTCTGGGGCTACATCATCGTGCTGAACACCATGGTACCCATCTCTCTGTATGTCAGGTGAGGCTGTCCTGTCCTTGGCCTCTTGCTTTTAGGGAAAACTGTAGTATCTTTTTCCAACTTGGCACATTTGTGTCTAGCAATAATAGTTTCAAAGGTCAAAAGGAATAGGTAAAAAAATAACTTCTATTTCAGAATTGAGGATAAGATGGGGGAAGGAAATGAATGGGCCTACTCTGTGCCAGGTACCTTCTATCCTTACAGATAAGGCCACTGACAGTGGAGGTCAAAGGCTACAATCACTTACTTGGTAAGATTCCTTCTCAGTGAGTTCCAAAGCCTAGGTTTCAAGAAGGGCCTGGGAGAAAGTTAGAGACTTGGAATGTCATGGAAAAACTTGCTTTTCCATTTCACAAGTCTTGCTTCCCTCTTATAGGAGACTTCTTCTTCTTTTTTTGTTTTTAGATGTTGATGGACCTTTATTTTATTCATTTATTTATATGCAATGCTGAGAATCAAACCCAGTGCCTCTCACATGCTAGGCAAGTGCTCTACCACTGAGCCACTCCCCCTCCACCCCTGACCCCCAGCCTTCTTCTTGACATCTGCCACACCCATGCTTACTTGTGGAAGCCACTGACCTTCCTGCTAAGACCTCCTGGTGGAAAAGGTGTCCCGCCTTACTCCACCCTCTCCCAAGGTTCCATTTCTTATCTTAAGGTCAGTTCCAATCCCAACAGAAAGTCAAGGTTGTACCCCTGACAAGTGGCAGTCTTGTCTGGTGCTGTGTCTTCCTGTTTTGCTCTTATTTCCTATCAAATTCATTGTCACTGGCCAGTTGGACTTTAGAGGGGCTACGCCTTGGAATATATTGACAGTGGAGTCAGTTCTTGGTTTCAATCAGTAATAGCCTGGAGGAAATGGACTCACACACCCCTGTAATTAGATGCATTTATTTTATTCTAATTTTATTATATGTGCGTTTGTTTTGTTTCTAATTTTATTACATGTTCTTTCTGTTGCTCTTTTAATGGGAAATCATGCCCTGGGGCAGGCTTTTGTCCCAGCTACTCTAAAAGAGTCTAAGACAGTGCTTCCTTGTTAAGAGAGCCCTCTGTTATATGGATTATTTTGTACAAAGCTATAAAATAATACCGTATGCAATTTGGCTGATGTAACTTCTTTATTTCTCTTGGAAATCAAGGTCCTTTTAAAGCATAAATCAAATCAAGATGGTATCTCTGTTTTTTCTTCTACTCCCTGGCAGCTTGGGTGTCGTTTAGTATAGAATCATCAAGGCCACAGGATCACACCCAGGGCCCAGTGGGATCTGGTGTTCAGTGCTCCAGCCCTACCCCTTGGTCCTGCCCCTTAACCCTGGCTCCTGCCACTCCAGACCCTTGATGCCCTTCCTGCCACAGGACCTTTGTACCTTCTCTTATCTCTGCCTGGTACATTCTTCCCTAGATAGCCTAATGCTGCTTTTTCATTTTCTTCAGGCCTCATCCCCCCGGCATTTCCTAGTGCTCCCTCTTATGACCAAACCACCTCTTCCCTGTTGCTCTCTATCTCCCCTTCCCCTGCTTTGCTTTTATGCAGAGAACCCTCAGCACCCAATAAGTACGTGTTTACTGGGTCTCTCATTTGTGTGCCTTCGCAGGTGATAACTTGCTAACAGACTGGGTTTCCTTCTGCTTTGCTTGTGGATATAACCCCTGTATCTAGAATGGTTTTTGGTACCTAGTAGGACATATTTATGGAAGGAGGAAAGGGAGGGAGAGAGAGTTATTTTTCCATCGTTTAACTTGTTATAAAAAGATCCTTTGCTCACTTAACTGTTGCTGAATATATAAATGGTTTCCTTCTAACTGAGATGTGTTTAATTCCTATGGTGCTTTGGTTTCGCTTGTGTTTTTGTACAGTGCCGGGGATCAAACCCAGAGCCTCATTCATGCAAGTGCACTACCACTGAGCTAGGCCCTAGGGCCCCTCTAGTTTCAAAATTGAGATGATTCTTTTTGAATATCTTCTTTTGAACATTCTATAACCTAATAAAATTTAAAAAAAAGTGTCACCTTCACAGTGAGGGATCACAATTTAGGAATTATTTGCCAAAAGACTGTTGCCCTATATGAGAGCACTCAGCAGTCTGTCATCTAGTGGGCCCATGTCCTCTTTGTCCTACAACTGGAGACAGAAATGAATACTGCCATCCCAGTTGTCCCTGGGAATGATGGGGAAACAGTAAGATGACTGCACCTGGGCACCATCCACAGGGGTCCAGGTCACCTGAGCTGTGCATTTTGAACATGGCACTCCATGGCCGTGGCCTGATGTGCTCAGGAGTGAGTGGGAAGTCATAGTGAGCAGGATGCTTTGAGGAAACACTACTCATCTAAAGTCAGCTTGACCCTGACCTGAAGGACAAAACAATTGGTCAGGAGAGCTCAGAGGCTGAGCACATCGCCACGCATGACTTCTCTCTCTCTCTTTTTCTTTTTCTTTTTTTGGTACCAGGGATTGAACTCAGGGGCAGTTGACCACTGAGCCCCATCCCCAGCCCTATTTTGTATATTATTTAGAAACAGGGTCTCACTGAGTTGCTTAGCACCTCACCATTGCTGAGGCTGGCGTTGAACTCGCAATCCTCTTGCCTCAGCCCCCCAAGCCGCTGGGATTACAGATGTGCGCCACCACCACTGGCTATGGCTTGTCTCTTTGAAGATGTCTTAGTTTGTGCAGGCTGCTGCAAAAGAATGCCTTTACCTGAGTAGCTTGTAGACAACAGAAACATACTGCCTACACTTCCGGAGGCTGGGAAGTCTAAGATCCAGGGTGGGCACTTTTGGCATCTGGTGAAGGCCCAGGCCCACCCTGTGTCATAGAGAGCATCTTCTTGCCACATCCTTAAAGGGCAGAAGAGGCAAGCAAGCTCTTTTATGAGATCACTAATCCCATTCACGAGGGCTTTGCCTTTAGGACCTAATCACTTATGAGAGGCTCTGTCTCAATATTGTGTTGGGGATTGTTTTGACATATGGGTTCTGGGGGCCACCAACATTCAGCCTGTAGCAGTCCTGTGTGCACAAGTGAGGCTAAAATCCACCACTCACAGCTCAGAACTCCACACAGAGTGATCTTTTGTCTTCCTAGTGTGGAAGTGATTCGTCTGGGACAGAGTCACTTTATTAACTGGGACCTGCAGATGTACTATTCTGAGAAGGACACGCCTGCAAAGGCGAGAACCACCACGCTGAATGAGCAGCTCGGCCAGATCCAGTACATCTTCTCTGATAAGACAGGGACACTCACGCAGAACATCATGACCTTTAAAAAGTGCTGCATCAATGGGCAAATCTATGGTGAGTGCGAGTGTGAAGGAAGGAGAAAGCCAGACCTTGACTATTTCCTAAGTGGACTGCGAGCTCAGATGATCTTGTCTACAAGATGATTTCAGAGACATGCTTCTATCTACAAGACGCGGGTGTGTTTGGGGTCTGAAATAGAAGGAATGGTTGGCTGTTGAATTATGGTAGAAGATTCATTTCCTGGGTGCTGCCTAGAGCTGAACCTGCCACCCTAGAGTCACTTGTGCCCTCCCTCTGCAGATTGCTTCTGGCACTGGCACCCCAGCTGAGGGCTAGAGGGGCATAATGGACACTGCTGGGAACACACGCCTGGGAGAGGTCAGCAGATGGAAACAGGCACACGTTGCCAGGCACAGAGGCACAAGCCTGTAATCCCACAACTCTGGAGGCCATAGCAGGAGGATCACAATGTCCAGGCCAGTCTGGCAACTTAGTGAGATTCTGTCTCAAAATGAGAAGGTCTGGGGATGTAGCTCAGTAGCGGAGGTCCTCTGGGTTCAATCCCCAGTAACACACACACACACACACACAAAGGTACATGTCCCTCAAAAAAACCAAACATTGAAATAGCCAACAATTCCACTGCTGGGTATATATTGTAAGAAAGTGAAATCAGAGATTCAAAGAGATATTCGTGCACCCACATTCATAGCAGCTTTATTCACAATAGCCAAACGGTAGAAGCAACTCCAGTGTCCATTGTGGATGAATGGCTAAACAGAATGTGTGTGTGTTTATCTATAATATGTGTGTGTTTACATATACAACATACATATGCATATATATGTACATACATATGTATATGTGTATATATACATATATACACACACACACATGTATAGTGGAACATTATGTGTTTCCTTAAAAGGAAGGAAATTCTGATACATGCCACAATGTGGATAAACCCTAAGGTCATCATACTAAATGAAATAAGCCAAAACCAAAAAGGCATATGAGTCCACTTATATGAGGTACTTAGAGTAATCAAATTCATAGGAACAACGTAGAATATTTACTAGGTCACTAGAGAATGGGGGCAGGGTAATAAGAAATTATTGTTTAATGGATACAGTTTTAATTATGCAAGGTAAGCACTCTTCTGGATGGATGTGGTGGTGATGGTTGCACAACAGTGTAAATGTACTTAATGCCACTGAACTGTGCACTTAAAAAGGGTTATAACGTTAAGTTTTATGTGTCTTTCAGCACAACTTTAGTAAAATTGATTTCTAGTTTTCTGAAATATGTCTTACCTTTAAAAGCAACATTAAGGCTAATCCTATATTTAAATAGAATGCTTTTAAATAATTTAAGACAATGTGTTTTGTTTTAAACACAGCACATGAGTATTCTTTCCACTTATGGAAAACTTTATATTGTGAATGTTGTTTCATATGAGTGAGGAAGACTAGGAACCTGGTGGCAGGTATAGCATTTCAAAGGACAAGGCTCAAATCCCAAAAGAACAGAGAGGAACAGGCACTAGTATTTGAAACTCTAGTGGGGGTGGCAAATTATTTCTGCAAAAAGTCACTTAGCATATATTTTAACCTTTGTAGGCCTTATATGGTCTCTATTCTTTATTTTTAATTTTTATCCAACTCTTGAAAAATGTGAAAACTATGTTAACTTCAGAACCATCCATGAATAGGCTGGCGGGGGGGGGGGGGGGGCTCTGGACACAAGTAAAGGCGACTTAATTTGTTTTGTCCTGTTTGTTTCTCAGGAGACCATCGAGATGCCTCTCAACACACTCACAGCAAAATAGAGGTGAGTCCTTTAGCATGAGGAACTGCTGGGATGCATATTAGTTTTCTAGAGCTGCCTTAATTTGTTAATTACCCCAAATTGGGAAGCTTAAGATAACAGAAATTCATTCTCTAATGGTTCTGGAGGCCATATGCCCAAATAAAGGTTTTGGCAGAGTCAAACTTCCTTGGAAAGTTCTAGGGAGAGTTCTTCTTTCACTTCTCCTAGCTTCTGATAATTGCCAGCAGTTCTTGGTGTTCCCTGGCTTGAAACCCAGGCCTCCAATCTCTGCCTCCATTGACACATTGTGCTCTCCTTGTGTGTCTGTCTCTGTGTGCAGATTTGTCTATCTCATAGGACACCTGTCCTTCCATCCAAATCTCACTTGGCCTCAGCTTGGTTACATTTGCAGGGACCCTATTTCCAAATAAGGTCACATTCATAAGTACCAGCAGTTGGAACGCCTGCATATCTATTAATGGGACAAAATTCAACCCACCATAGGATGCTTTTTGTTTTAAGATAGGTGTAAACCTCTTATCACATAAGTCAAGAATGTACTAAAATCCACCAAACATGATTATGGCAGCACATGCCTTAATCCTATACACTTGGGGACTGAGGCAGGAGGATTGCAAGTTTCAAAACCAGCCTCAGCAACTTATTGAGACCCTGTCTCAAAATAAAAAATAAAGAAGGCCAGGCATGGTGGTCCACATCAGGATTCCCAGCTACTTGGGAGGCTAAGGCAGGAGAATTGCAAGTTCAAGGCCAACCTGGGCAAATTAATAAGCCCTCATCTCAAAATTTCAAAAAAAATTTAAAACAGGCTGGGGATGTAGGTCAGTGGTACAGCACTCCTTGGTTCAATCTCCTACTATTACTAAATAAATAAAGCTGGGAATGGGCTAAAATCCAAAATGTTACTTTTACATAATTAAAAACTTGACTTCAAAGAAAAGTTCATATCAATTTTTAATCCAGATTTTTTTTTATCGCCTTTTTGTTTTCTTCTGAATTTCTTTCAGCAAGTTGATTTTAGCTGGAATGCATTTGCTGATGGGAAACTTGCATTTTATGACCATTATCTTATCGAGCAAATCCAGTCAGGGAAAGAACCAGAGGTCCAGCAGTTCTTCTTCTTGCTTGCTGTTTGTCACACGGTCATGGTGGAAAGAATTGATGGTGAGTATTTCTCTGGCATCTCAGACTTTGCAGGCTAGCTTTTTGGTTTGCAGACAACTCATGCTCTGCTTCCCATGCATGTTTAATGGTCTGCATGTAAACTCAAACGGTGGATATTTGAGCACCTGGCACTAGATGGTATATGGAATAACAAAGATTTCTCTGAAGTTTACATCTGATTCACAGTTGTAACTCTGGATGTGTTTATCGCTTTGTAAATGAAACTTTATCATTAAAAGTAATGATTGGCTCTTGAATTGGGATAGAATCAAACTCTTTCTACCGTATTACTAATGTATGTTGCCAATGTAAAAATCAGGCCTTATCTGTATTGCAAGTAGACTTTAAACTTGAACAGACTTTTCTACAAAATGATTTCAGAGATCTGTTTTTACTTCCTGGATTCCGATATGTTTTGGGCTTGAACGTATCAGCCAAAGCCTGGATCTCTTTAAGGTCTCTTTCTCATTTGAAAGTGCATTTGCATGGGAACAAGCAAGGCTGAAGTTCATTTTAAAATCCAGTTTGTGCCAACTGTGCTAACAGCATATTCATACAGTATCATGAAAACAAATTGTTTTGTCATATATGGACATAACAAATTATTTAGATACAAATGGACATTGTAGAAAGAGCAAAAGGAATTCTTTTGATATATCTATGGTGGTGCACAGTCTGCCTTCTCTTCATTCATTCACTTTACCCCATTCTCTACGGTTTACTTTAATCACTGCAGTACATAAAAGTCCCTCGGTGAAATTCCTATCTTTGTTTCATATGTAACTGATATAAAATCTCCAGGAAAGGAACAGGCCTAAAAACTTAAATATGTAGAAGCCGTATAGGATATCTTTCAGCAAGTTTCAAAAAGGCCCTTCTCCAAGGTGAATTTAATAGTATAATAAAGTGAGATGTGAGAGTTCAAAGTGGGATGGATCCTGTTAGCAGCGAATGGGGACAGGTGGAAAGAGCTGACGCCAGGTCATGAATTGCCAAAACAGAGGTCAAAGTCTGTTTAAATAGCCAAGCAAATTTTACTTGCACAATAAGAATGAAATATAATTTTAAGCATCCTGCTTCCCTTAGGTTCTGACTCATTAGTAAAACTCTTCTTCTTTTCTTTGAGTGGTGGTGGTATTTTGAGTGCTAACTGGACATTTTAGGCCAATACCCATTAATCTTACAGTTTAATTTTTTCCCACTTGGATGTTACTGGCAGAGCCCTGGACTGTGTGTTCCAGGTGAGCCCGCCCAGTTTTGGGTCCTTCTTGCACACCTGCTTCTTCAGTGTTGCAGTAAGGAGGCTGATGTCCAAAGTCTCTTCCAACATAACATTCTGCTGCTCTTTTTCACACTGACAGCTAAGGTGAAGGCCCATATGTCCTGAGGAGTCCTTCAGTCAGTAAATGATGGGCACTTGATCCAGCCACTGGGAATGAAGACAAGTTAAATTTCTAGGTGCAGGAGGTTAGAGAAGAATGATGGAGATTAAGTTCTTTTGTATTATATATAACATCATCAATGGAAGGAGGAAATCCTTTCATATATGTGGCCACAAACTTCTGACTTCAGCAGTCTGTGTGGCCTGTGTGTTAAAAACATTAAGAGGCCATGTATGGAGACCCTTGCCCTAGTTTTCTGTTACTCTGGAATCAATTAGGGCAACCTGGCAGCTTGAAGTACCTGCTTATAAGCTCCCAATTCTGTAAGTCAGAAGTCTGAGCTTGGCTGTGACCAAGTTCTCTGCTCAGCATCTCACTAAACTCAAGGTGGAGCCATGTTCTCATCTGGAGCTCAGTGTCTTCTTCCAAGCTTATGTAGTGGGGGCAAGATTCAGTTCTCTGTGGTTGCAGGACTGAGGTCCCCATTTCCCTGCAGACTATCAGATGGGCTTGCTCTCTACTCCTGGAGGTTGCCCTCAAGTCCTTGCCAAAAGTCCTTGTCGATTGGTCCCCCATCCTCAAAACCAGTGATAGAGACTCTGCCTTACATTGAAACCCTCTCAGGATTCAAATCTCTCTCACAAGGCAAAGCCCTTGGCCCTTTAAGGGCTCACCTAATTAGGTTCAGAACCTTTGGATAATCTTCCTATTTTAGGGTCAACAGAGTAGGACCTAAATTAAATTTGCAAAATCCCTTCATAGTAGCCCCTAGGCTAGTGCTTGACTGAATAGCAGCAGAAGGTGTATGTCTGCCATTGGGGTGGGAACCTTGGGCAATGGAAACTCCTTCACCCACAGGCCCTATGAGAGCAGAGTGGGAAAGGCTTGGGAGCCTCTTCTTTGCCTGGAGGTCTTGAATCAGTGAGCAGAGAGCTGGCTCTAGGAGGCCTCAGCCTCACAGTGGGTGTGATATTCTAGAGCAGAGAGACAACAGCCCATGGGGAGGCTGGGGGCATGGATTAGGGTGGGTTCTTGGGCAGGATGAGAAAGTCACAAATATGGGAGACATTTGGTAAATGATTTGAAGGGGATGAGAGGATTGTGGGGAAAGAGACATCTGAAGGTTTTAAGGCTGGTGAGTGGAAGATCTGAGATCCTATTTTTAGCCAGAAGAAGTGAGGAGATTAGGATAGTGAGTTTATAAGAGGTGGCAGTTCTGATTTTAGCATTTTTTTAAACATCAATTTCACGATGCACAAATTAGTCTGTAAAAGGGAAGAATGTCTCTCTGGTTGCCTTAAGTGTACGGTAAAGGCATTTGCTAGCTAGGTTTCTTCCTGCAAACATAAGGTTGAAGTTTGGACAGGGTCTTCCTAGTCAGCCCATCTGTGATTCCATTACCAGATCATAATGGAAGGGTTTTCTTTTTTATTTAATGATAAAGATATCAAGGTGTTGGCTCCAGATAGAGTTGCCTCACTCAAGGAAAGTTTGCCATGTGTTATTATTTTGTTTCTTGCTTCTGTGGGAAGCAAGTTTGCTGTCAATATTATGTAAGATGTCTCGGCGCCGTGAAGGGAGGCACTTTGTTCTCACTGCTGCTTGCTTAGCTCTGAGTAAATAGTTTGCCTCTGGCATTTGTGCATGTTTGTAGAATGGCTGGATTTAGAAAGTACATTTATAACTTCTGGTGTATGACTTTCCAGATGAACAAATAAACAGCTTACAGTGCTATCTTTAATTATTAATTGGAAAATGATTAATGATGCCTTAATTAGAACAAATTATCTGCAGCAGCTTGAGAAGGAAGGAGAATGGGCAGGGCAGTTTAGTTCTAAGTCATCGCCCTGGAGCAGTCTGCCCTGCCAAGCAGACTGAGGTGGGAAGAACTGCCCATGTGCCCATGGTATGCATCTGGTCACCCTGTGTTGGAAAACTAAATACTCTTTTCCATAAAAATTCCTCCAGCTATGTTGCTTTGAAGCAGAATAATTAGGAAAGAAAATAGAAAATCTTGGGTAGGCAAAGTATTTTTTTTTAACTTTTTAACTTCAGTATAATGTGTGTATAGAGTCATGCCCATGGCTATCCACAGCTTATAGCCTTTTATGGGCACCCAGACTTATTTTAAAAAACGGTATAACTAATTAGAACAAAGAAAATATATAAACTATCAACCCAGAAGTCCCTTTCGTATTCCTTAAAGTTATTATCCCTCCAGGAAAATGATCTCCTAACTTTGAATATCAGGGGTTAGCATTGTCAGTTTTTCAGATTACGTGAGCAGAATCTGTGCTCTTTAGTGTCTGGCTTCTTTTACCCAGGATTGTGAGATGTATCCTTGTCCCTGTGAATAGAAAGCAGTTTCCCACTATTTAATTCTTAAAAATAAAGAAACTGATCAGAGGGACAAAGTTTTTTTTTTTTTTTTTTTTTTTTTTTTATGAGACTATAGCTGTGGTGAAATAAATACACTCTTTTAAAAGTGGGATCAATGGGCATGACCCTCTTGAAAAATAAATTAGTAATATGGGCTTTCAAATAATAAATGTAGGGCTGGAGGTGTAGCTCAGAAGCAGAGCACTTGCCTAGAAGGCATGAGGCCTGGATTTCATCCCCAGTCCACCAAAGGAAGAAAAAAAAAAATCAATGTTCTTTAGCTCAATGGTTTCACTACTATGAACCAGTCCTTAAAAAAAACAGAGACAGAAAATATTTGCACACACATGCACAATAGTTATTACAATGTTATTTTATTTTATTTTTTTTTTTTTTGGTACCAGGGATTGAACCCAGGGGCACTTAATCACTGGGCCACATTCCCAGCCCTTTTTTTATAGTTTATTTAGAGAAAGAGTCTCACTAAATTGCTGAGCCTGGCTTTTAATTTGTGATCCTCCTGCCTCAGCCTCTGGAACCAGCATGTGCCACTGTGCCCTGTTTACGATGTTATTTTTGAGAGCCAAAGTTTTTGGAAATAAAACTAAGTGCCAATAAGGGGAAAATGGCAACGTGTTCACATTCATTAAAAGATTGTTTATGAAGACTCTTTAAAGATATGACAACTTGCTTAAATATAACATTAAAATAACCAGGGTGTGAATGTCTACCCAGCATGATAGAAACTATTCCAGGAATAGGCGTTTTTCAAAGACTGAATGTCATGATAAAATGTCGATAGCGTTTTCTTCTGGGTAGCAGAATTATGGGAATGTCCCCCTCTTCTTGGCTAGTTGTTTTATTTCTGGTTTCTATTACCACTTACAATTCAAAACAATAGTTCCAAATTTAACAAGTTTTAATTTTGGTGTGATCCTTGGGAGCCCAGGGCTGGTGTCTTGGGAATGTGTTCAGCTGTGCAAAGGCACCTCAGTGGGGGGCATTTAGTTTTACAGCTTTTCTGGTTTTCTCTCCTTCCCTTGTTAGGTCAGATCAACTACCAGGCGGCTTCTCCCGACGAGGGCGCCCTGGTCAATGCCGCCAGGAACTTCGGCTTTGCCTTCCTCGCCAGGACGCAGAACACCATCACCATCAGCGAGCTGGGCACCGAGAGGACCTACAGTGTTCTTGCCATTTTAGACTTCAACAGCGACCGGAAGCGAATGTCTATCATTGGTAGGTCCACCGCGAGTGGCTGGACGCAGTGTCGTCTTTGCCTGTTTTATTTGGTGACGCCAGGATAAGGCAGGTAATGAGAGGACCATTTTGGCTCCTGGAAGATTCCTACAGACTTTCCGAAAGGGGTGTTGTTTCTCTACACTTCACCACGTCACTGTGCCAAGGGGCGGCGACGGTGCATCTGCACCTGGCAGAGGCTGGGGCTGTTCTCCACCGCAGGGGCCTCCGGCTGCTGAAGGGCGGTGGAGCCGCTGCCCGCCCAGCTGCAGGCTGTGGGCAGCTTACACACCTCTCTTCTGAGCGAGGCTGTGCTAATGAATCAAAATCGCACCTCCAGGCCACCAAGTGGAGCTGAGGATTGCTTCCTAATTTTTTTTTCCAGTTAATAATTTGAAAGGATTTCAAATTTACAGAAAAAAATTCAAGGATGGTTTAAAGGACTGTTGTGTACTGTTTAATATTCACCAGTTGTTTATATATTAGTATCCTTTGAATCATTTGAGAATAGGTTACAGACCCAATGCCTCTTTCCTCCAAATAGGTTAATAAGTATTTTTTAAGAACAGGAGTCTGCCTCCTCCACCGTGCCTGTCTCTGTCTCTCTGTGTATGTCTCCGTGTGTATGAATGATGGAAATCTGAGAATTTAACCTGATACAGCATTATCATCTAATACACAGACTTCTGGAAATTTTACTAGGAAACTTATTTATTTATGGCTTTTCTGGTTCTCTCTATCCCTCCCTCTTTCTCTATTCACTCCCCTCTTTCCACCTTGATCTTTTTTCTGGTCCAGGGTTCAATCCAGCGTGGCACATGGTATCTGGTGATCATGAGTCTGAATCAGAAACAGTTCTTCAACCTTGTTTTGATCTTCCATATATTGACATTTATTATATGTTGCCCAGTTATTTTGTAGAATGTCCCTCAGCCTGGTTGATCTGTTGTCCCCTCAGGATTATATCAGGTTGGGCATTGTGGTAGTGACACTTTAGAAGGCACGTAATGTTGGTTTGCCTCATTCATGGTGAAGTCTGTTTGGATCATTTGATTAAGGTGGTGTCCACAAACCTTCTCCACTGTGCTGTGAATGTTTAACCCATAGAAACCTATAGGTTTACCTGTGTACTGAATTCCCATTTTACTAATTGCTTTCTGAGTGCCTGACACTGATCTGGACTGATTATTGTGCCTAGCATCTGCCTTGGAGAACCTAAAGTCTAGTTATTGATCACAATCAAGCTGATTGAATTATCATACATATTAAAAAAAAATAAGAAAACACTCATAGGAGTCATGTTATGGCCTGAGCATTGGAGGCAGTAAGTAGTATGAGTTGATAGGTAAGAAAAGTTCCTGCTGGTTTGTATGGACATAGAAAATCCTGTGGAAGAAAGCAGTTAGTTCAGGACAGTACATAGTAGGCAGTCTGTACCTTTTTAAAATCCAGGGGTGCTCTACCACTGAGCTACATTCCAGCCCCTTTTATTTTTTGAGACAGGCTGTTACTAAGTTGCCCAGTAAGGGCTCCAATTTGTGATCCTTCTGCCTGAGCCTACCCAGTAGCTGGAATTACAGTCGTGTGCCACCACACCAGTGTCTAAATATTTGTTAAAAGAGTAAGTAAGGATACCACCAGGCATGGTGGCACATGCCTGTAATCCCACTGGCTCTAGAGGTTGAGGCAGGAGGATTGCAAGTTCAAAGCCAGCCTCAGCAACAGCAAGGTGCTAAGCAACTCATTGAGACCCTGTCTCTTTTTTTAAATTAATTTTTATTTATATATGACAGCAGAATGCATTACAATTCTTATTACACATATAGAGCACAATTTTTCATATCTCTGGTTGTATACAAAGGATATTCACACCAATTCGTGTCTTCATACATGTACTTTGGATAATAATGTCCATCACATTTCACCATTATTTCTAACCCCATGCCCCCTCCTTTCCCCTCCTACCCCTCTGACCTATCTAGAGTTTGTCTGTTCCTCCCATGTTCCCTCTCCCTACTCCACTATGAATCAGCCTCCTTATATCAGAGAAAACATTCAGCATTTGGTTTTCTGGGATCAGCTAACTTCACTTAGCATTATCTTCTCTAACGCCATGTACTTACCTGCAAATGCCATGATTTTATTCTCTTTTATTGCTGAGTAATATTCCATTGTGTATATATGCCACATTTTTTTTTTACCAACCTAGAGACCCTGTCTCTAAATAAAATACAAAATAGGGCTGGGGATGTGGCTCAGTGGTCAAGTGACCCTGAGTTCAATCCCCAGTATCAAAAAAGAAAAAAAAAAAGTAAGTAAGGATATGGAAACATTCATATTCATTTTGCTATTACATTCAATGTAGACAAAGGCTTACCAACTTTGTTAATGGTAGCACTTCTAGGTGCATTGACTGTTTTAAGATGGGTGAATTAGGAGCACAGTGACACTTCAAAGTAACTTTATCAATGTAGTTTTCTATGAAGAAATCAAACTTAACTTTGTTGTGTGTTTTTTCTTCCCTTACTCCCAGTAAGAGCCCCAGAAGGCAACATCAGGCTGTATTGTAAAGGTGCTGACACTGTCATTTATGAACGGTTACATCCAATGAATCCTACAAAGCAAGAGACACAGGATGCCCTGGATGTAAGTCTCACTTTCATTCTTCTTGCAAGATTCTGTTTCTGATGCTGTCTCTTAAGTTTCGTAACTCTTGACCCTCCCCTGGCTCTGGTGTTATTGGGTGGAAACATCACCAAAGTAGAAAAGTGGCCACCTGGGTTCTAGTTCTTCCCTTGCTGGTGATGTTCTTGGAAATGACCGTGGAGCCAGCCCTTTCCCAGCATCCAGGTCTATAGGACAGATGCAGGGGAATGTGCTGGGTTTCTGTTCGTGACTAAAAGGCTCAGGGGTCACTCCAGTTGAACTGGGTTGACTGGGCTGCGCAAAATAACCACACAAGAGACACAAATACCTTTTTCTTTGGGGTCGCTGTGACAGCTCCTCTAACCTTAAGGGTCTGCAGGAAGAGAGAGAGAGAGAGAGAGAGAACACCCGCGGATCCCTTTTATTGAAGAGAAGCTATTCAAATGAGGCAAGGGGTCAGGTTTCAGGGGGCTAAGTCTATGTTCATGATGTCCACTATCAGCAGGTTGACTGACATCTATGTAGGCCACACCCAAGGGCACAGTAAGAGAAGGGGACACACTCAAGGCACTTCCATGGAACATTCTATCCTAAACCTTTGTAAAGGAATAGGTGAGCATAGCTTCACCCATGGGGCTGTAGCAAGAAACAGCCGGGGCACAAAGACACAGTCACTCGAACCCTAGAAGAGTGGGGCAGTCTAGCAGCATGGGTGCCTGACGCCACATCGCCCAGCAGGGGAGTTAACTCAGTCATGTGCGAGGTTGGTCTCCCACAGGAATGGCTAGTCTCTCTTCCAGTTATCCTGAGTCAGCTACAGCTATGCTAAGCTGTAACCTTACCATCTCTGTGGCTTCCTAGAGCTCTACCCTCTTCTAGGTACAGGGGAAGGAACCGAGGCATTCCTGTTTGGCAGAAGTTAAGAAAGCAGTGCGCTGGATCATGGTGTTTGTTGTTTTTGCAGTGCAGGGGATCAAACCCAGGCTCACACATGATAGGAAGCACTCTACCACTGAGTAACATCCCCAGTCCTTTTTATTTTTTAAATTTTGAGTCAAGGTCTTGCTCACTAAGGCTGGCCTGAAACTTGCTGTCCTCCTGCCTCAGCCTCCCAGGAAGCTGAGAGTCCGGGTGTGCACACATACACACCCCACCCCCACTGAATCATTGAGTTTGACGCCTTTGTTCACAAAACAGTTTGGTCTTAATTACTTCAAAGTCCTTATCTTAGGAAGCTGTGGGCACAGTCCATTGGTATTGTCACCACTAGAATGGTTTTGAACTTGCACTTTGGGAATTGCCCACCCATCCTCAAATGGTTTTGGTTCTGCATGCTGATGGCAGTGAGGTTGGAGATCAGCGAGAACTCGTGTCCCAGTTCAGTCTCTTTAGTAGTTTTGTGTGGGGAAAAAGAATACTTATCATATCATCTGCATCGTTAATCTCCCATGTGAAAGAGGAAGGAAATAATTCCAACCACGGCAGGTCATTGTAAAAGAAAGCATCTCGCTCAATTCCCAGCACTTAGGAGGTACTTAATAAAGGGTGGTTTCTTCCTTCTAACCATCAGTTGAGGCTCAGAGCCTGCCAAAGGTGTTCAGAGAGAAGCTTAATAAACCTGTTGTTTACCAAGTGGGGTCACGTTTTCAGATTAGGTACTGATGCTGATGCTAATGCAATTAAAATGGATGAATTCTCATGAGAGTGTGACAGTGTCAATCTAATCAACCAAATATAGAACCTTTCAAAAAAAAATCTCTGAAAAGTGAATACTCGCTTGGGCCAGTTCTGACATCTTGGCTAGATAAGAAGTAACAATGAAATAATAAAAGATTTTTACTGGTTCGTATTAAAGTTATTTAAAAGTGGCTTAAATCTGTTCAAATTTCCAAATACTCTTTTTCATTAAAATGTTTGATCTCAGATTTAACAATGGCTCATGGATTTTAGAATTGGTGTGAGGATTAGTGTTTGGTTGCAAGTTCATAGTTGATTGGACTTATAACAGAGTTTGTGGGAACAAGTTATAAAATTATTGGGTCTGTATTTACAACATCATTACACCTTTTGTCTGTTATTTTTAGTCATTAAAAAAATTTTTTTTGTTTTTTTTTTAACTCTAGTGACTTAATTTAGAAGAAAGGTATACTTTTCACTTTAACCAATTTGGGAAGTAGAAATATAGTCCTGGAACCCTGGTGATGCTTACAAAAAAACAAAGTCTATTATAACACAAAGTTTAATTCCTCTATAGAATCCTTCACATTTCATAGTCTCTTTTAAAATTCTCTTAGTACATTACTTCAAAGTAAGAGTTCAAACTTGACCTTGAACTACATAAAATTAAATATTCTTGCATCGGTGGATTGTCTTTTAAATAAAACAGATCTTTGCGAATGAAACTCTTAGAACCCTGTGCCTTTGCTACAAAGAAATTGAAGAAAAAGAATTTGCAGAATGGAATAAAAAGTTTATGGCAGCCAGCGTGGCCTCAACCAACCGAGATGAAGCTTTGGATAAAGTATATGAGGAGATTGAAAGAGACTTAATTGTGAGTTTTAACCTTAATAATGTTTTCCTTGATATTCTAAACAAAGCAAAATTTTTATTAAGTTTTATTACATTTTGATCTCATGCTTGAAAGATTATTCTAACTCCAGCAAATGAAATTGGAACAAAGAAAGTAGGTCATTTGAATTTCTTCTGTTCTGATAACAGAATAGATGTTGTCATTTTAGAAACCAAAAGAGAAGAACCTATAGAGAAATGTTCTGAGTTAATCTAATTCCATGATTTTTATATCACTTATTAAAATGCATTATGATTTTATAGGATGTCAAACCAGCACTTATTTATTTGTGAAAATTACTGAAACAATTTATGTTTTGAAAAATATTGAAACAAAAAAACCCCCACCATTTCTAAATGAAATTTTTGAAAATTTAGTTCTTATTGCCTGTAGAGTTTAGATTAATGGAAAAATGTTCAATAGCCAGTATTTCCCTTTGGCCAGAGGGATGGGCTCATATCTATAAAGCAGCAAGTACACAATAATAGTGTGGTTTTAATGTCTGATTTTGTACTTGCATTTTTTTTTGTCTCAGCTAATTAATTAGTTCATTCTCCAAGAAAAAAAAATATTTGGTTGTTTTGCTTTGCAGTAAGTGTGAAGCATGGTGGTAGCCTTCCCCGCCATGCTGGCCACTGGCTGTGGTAGAACACCAATTGGGGTACATAATTAGCCCTTCTCTTTAGAGGCTGGTGAACTATAACTACAGACAGTTTTTGGTTTATTTGCTAATTCCTTCTTTTCAAATGTACATTCCAGCTATTGGGAGCTACAGCTATTGAAGATAAACTGCAGGATGGGGTCCCAGAAACCATATCAAAACTTGCAAAAGCTGACATTAAAATCTGGGTGCTCACTGGAGACAAAAAGGGTAACTCATTTATGTGGGGAAGTGTATCTATTAATTCACAAATATTTAAAACTGCTGTTTCCTTTGCCCCCGATGACTTTCTCAGACTTTCCATCCTGTAGGGACACCAGCTATTTCTTTGGAAGGGAGAGATTTTCTCTTAAAACCCTCCTCTTATCCCATCCCTCCCTGATTATGTCCTTCTCTGAACTCCCTCTAAAGCAGAATCTATTCCTTATGATTTAGCTCCCAATTGCATCCTGCTGGTTGTCTTTATCTCTTCGGCCAGATGTGCACTCCTATCCTGAAAGATGATCCCTTCTGTCTTCCTAGTGCTTTGCCATTTGGGGGCATAGAGAAGAACACAAAGTGTTGAATGACATCAACTCTTGTTATCTTGCTCCTTTTATGGCTTGGAAATTACAGTTAAAATTTTATACCTGAGCAAAGTTTTTAATTCTTAAATTTAGAGCTCAATAAGTTGCTGTTTGATATCCATACTTTGTTCTGCAAGCCTCTCACAGGAAACTGGATAATGTCTGTTTCTCTGCCATCATCAATAGGCTACACAGTCTGAAAGCACAGCCCTGGACTTTAATAACTACCAAATGGGTGGTTATGGAAAAAAAGGGGGGGGGGGACGTGTCATTAGTAGGCACCCCATGTGAGGACTGAGGAAACATTATCCTTCCCCTTATAACATAACAACATGTTCAGAGCATGTCAGTATTTTAATGAACATTCATTTATTAAATAATCAATTTAAATAGTTGATAATATAGCAATTTATTATTAAAAACATCTCAAACCAGACTTTGACTTTCACTTATTATAGGGAAAGGAATTGACTTATTTATAAGAGTTCTATGCACTGCTATAGAAAATAGTGTATTTGATTGAATCTGATCATGTTCATGAATTGAAGGAAATTACCATTGTAGGTTGAGTATCCCTAATCTGAGATCCAGAATGCTCAAAATCTGAAACATTTGGGGGTGCTGACATGATACCGCAAGTGGAAAATTCCACACTTAGGATCTCATGTGACAAGTCACAGTCAAAATGCACCTGTACTAAAAATAACTATAAAATTACCTTCAGGGACTGGGGATGTAGCTAGTCATAGAGCACTTGCCTAGTATGTAAGTGGCTCTGGGTTTGATCCCCAGTACTGCAAAACAAAAACAAAACAAAACAAAATTACCTTCAATCTATTCAGCCTTTGGATATAAGGAATATGTAAAATAAATTTCATAATTATATTTGTGTCTCATCATCACAGCATCTCCGTGTGCGTGTGTGTGTGTGTTCCAAAATAAAAAAAGAACAAAAAATTCAAAAATCTAAAATACTTCTGGTCCTGAGCTTTTCAAATAGTAGATGCTCAACCTGCAGTAGATGGAAATTATTTAACTCAACAATAGGAATGACATTGGACTTGATTTTATCTGTTGTAGAAACTGCAGAAAACATAGGATTTGCTTGTGAACTTCTGACAGAAGACACCACTATCTGCTATGGGGAAGATATAAAGTAAGTAAAGGGCCTGTGGCATGAGATCATGCAGCTGCTCATTTCACAAAGGCAACACTAGTGGCAGAGGCAGCACAGATGGAGAAATAGGGGTGGGGGTATGTTACCTGAGACAGTCTCTCCTCCTGCTTAAATGAAGCAAGAGAACATCGGGCAGTTCCCAGCTATCATGGTGCAGTCTTATTTTGATCACATTTTAGTTTTAAGGAAACCTTTCGAGGCCACTTCCTCCATTCCTTAGAGCCCTTGGTGCTTTTTTGTCTGCTGAAGAAGGGAACTGAGCCTATGGTATCATTAGCAAATAAATATGACTTATGTTTTGTCTGTTGGAGGGATTTTATTTTTTGAAAGTGAAATGAGAGGGGAAAAAAAAAGAAAAAGAAAAACACCACCTTGTCCCAGAAGGAAAGTTTGGAAGGGTTACATTGTCATCTATAGTCTAGCTAGAGGAAGCAATCCTGGTATTTCAAACCTTAGCTTATGCTAGAACATTGGTCATCTCTGAATCAGAGTTGCAGAAGACCTGGAAACATATGATGCAAAAGTCCCTCTCTTGTTACAGAGCTGTAAATATAATGTACACAGTTACCATGATGGCTTTACAGTTCCACTTATTCCTCAAGCTTTATCCTATAGGGCCTGTCTCAGGCTGGCACAAGGTCAGATTAAGCTGTTAATGTATACACTTGCTGGGCTGCTAGTCCTTATTAGTCTTCTTTCTAATGATGATAATAAAGCTTTTGTGAGTCATTCCAGTATGAGAGGCACTCTGCTAGATTAGACAAAATTGGTAGTCTTATAATCTAAATCAGCCCTGTTTGAATAGAGGCACATAAACCATGCCTCTTTGAGCTTTTAGGTTTTAAAAGGTAGCAACGGACAAATAAATGCTTCATATGTTTACTTAAGTAGTTTTTGATTGCAAACAATATGGTTAATTACCGTATGGTTTTGTTTATTTTTTTGTAGATGGGGGCTTTAATAAATTTCTGGTCTCTCTTTTAAAAGTAGACCCTAAGCTAAATTAAAAGATAAAATTTATGCAAATAATAAATTTTATGATCATGCTTATAGCCAAGTTTCCCTTTATAGAGAGATGAATTATCTTTCCAGATGGTGCCTGAAATGATGATTCCTATAAAACAGCTTAAATAAATTCATATTTTCTTCACTTTCAGTTTTTTTTATCATTTGTCTTGATTTTTAACTGATTTTCCAACTGAAAATGAGAATTAAGTGAATGTGGAAGAGGGATAATAAATACCTAATCTTCTAGTGTGATGGTTCTTAATCAGGGAGTGGGGGTTATTTTGCTTTCCAGGGACTGCTTGGAAATGTCTGCAAACATCTTTGGTGGTCCCAACAGGGGAGGAGGGGTGCTACTGGCTTCTAGTGGGTTGAGGCCAGAGATACTATAAAACATCCTACATGTGTCCTTCCTAAAATAAGCATCCACATACAACAGACAATTATCTGTCTAAAGACATCAACAGTGTCGAGTCTGAGAAACCTGCTTTTGAGGTGTGCATGAGGAACGGAGAAAGTCTCCCATCAACTTGCTGCAAACAAATCACATCACCTCTCTTGGCTTGATTTCTTTATTTGCAACATGAAAAGAATGTGCAAGAAGGCCCCTTCCCTCCAAAATCCCATGACTCATTTTTCTATCACATAGAAGTGTTACATGTCATCTTATCAATGATTTGTTGATATAAAGTATCGAGAATTTTTAAAAGCAGACATAATTGTACGGGGAAGTTAGTTTTTCTCTGCCAAACAGCAGCCAGGGTATTAATTTAGATGGAGATTGCCTTCCCTTTGTTGCTTATGAACACAGTGTGACCTGTTTCTTCCTTTGGTTGCTTTTGGCAAATTATGAAGTACCAAGAACTTGGTGCCACATAGTATAAGATTATATGTCACCCAATTAAGAAAGGATCAAAGAATTTTTAGAAGACATTCCTCCAAGGAAGATATGCTAATGGCTGAAAAGCTTGTGAAACAATGTTCAAATTAAAACCAGTGATACCATCTCATTTTTATTAGGATGGGGACAATCAAAAAAGAAAAAAAAAATAGCAAGTGTTGGTGAGGCTGTGCAGAAACTGGAACATTTATCTACTGCTGGTGGGAATGTAAAATGACGTAGTCATTATGAAAACTGGTATAGGGATTCCTTAAAAAAATTAGAAATAGAGTTACCATGTGATCCAGCAATCTCACTTCTGAGTAATATACTCAAACTAAAAAAACATTTTAAAAAATTGAAAGCAGGGTCTTGAAGAGATGTATGCATACACATATTTATTACAGCACTATTCACAAGAGTCAAGCAACCCAGGTGTCTATCAGTGTTAAGAATGGTTGAATAAAAAATGGAATATTATTTGTCCTTAAAAAGGAAAAAAAAATTATGACATACATTATAATATAGATGAATCTTGAAGACGTTATTAAATGTAATAAGCCAGTCACTAAATGATAAATACTATATGATTTCACTTAAAAATAGATAAAAAGATAAGTCTTAAGTTGTCTTTATCAGAATTTTTTTAAAAATATGTCAAAATTGGGGCTGGGGATGTGGCTCAAGCGGTAGCGTGCTCGCCTGGCATGTGTGCGGCCCAAGTTCGATCCTCAGCACACATACAAAGATGTTGTGTCCGCCAAAAACTAGAAAATAAATATTAAAAAATTCTCTCTCTCTCTCTCTCTTTCTAAAAAAAAATGTCAAAATTATCTAATAGTGTAGGGCCTGTTTATGGTTTTGTACTTTAAGTACTTCAATTTATTTTTCTCCAGTTCTCTTCTTCATACAAGGGTGGAAAACCAGAGAAACAGAGGTGGAGTTTATGCAAAATTTGCACCTGTTGTGTACGAACCTTTTTTCCCACCTGGTGAAAACCGTGCTTTAGTCATCACCGGTTCTTGGCTGGTAGGTACCATTAGTGTGTCTGGGTCTTTGGCTCAAATGAAAAAAAGTTCACTTTGGACCAATTTTAGATGGTGTTACATATTTGTTAATTGCCAACTTAAAAATCTCTTAGCCTATAAATTCAGGTGTGATTTCCCAAGTTTGAAGCTTAATATTACAGGACATATGAAAGCAATTATACCAAATAGGTAACAGTGGTTGTCTTGGTTTATTAATTAATGAGTAATTTTCATTTTGTTATTTATAGATTTTTGTATTCTCTAGATTTATGTCATAAATGTTCTGTCATCAGAACAATATAACCAATGATATAATCCACAAACTCTCCTTCACGCAACTTAAGTCTTGGAAATGATGATACCTTTGGTGTAAAAACTAAAGTGACCTCAACCCTCTCCATGATTTCGCAGAATGAGATTCTTCTAGAGAAAAAGACCAAAAGAAATAAGATTCTGAAGCTGAAGTTTCCAAGGACAAAAGAAGAGAGACGGATTCGAACCCAAAGCAAGAGAAGGCTCGAAGTTAAGAAAGAGCAGCGGCAGAGGAACTTTGTGGACCTGGCCTGCGAGTGCAGCGCTGTCATCTGCTGCCGCGTCACTCCCAAGCAGAAGGCCATGGTGGTGGACCTGGTGAAAAGGTACAAGAAGGCCATCACACTGGCCATTGGAGATGGAGCCAACGACGTGAACATGATCAAGAGTGAGTTGCGCTCAGGTGGCCCATAAAACCCAACTAGAAATAGCAGGAGGGTTTTGGGGGTGGGGGGTCATTTCTTCAGCTTTCATTGTGGAAGTTTTCATAAAGCTGGTGTTTAAGAAAGGCACTGGGTCACGCCTGTGCCCATGCCCTTGCCCTGGGGAAGCCAACAGACTATCCAGGAGGCAGGACTCTCAGAGGGACTTAGGATGCCCAGCAGAAGATGAGTTCTCCAGGGTGAATTTATCATTATTTGTTTCCTACTTTTTCCTGTTTGGTGTGATTTTTTTCCCCCTCTTGCCAGATCTTCTCCTTTATTTCTTTAAGCTTATTTAAAACCCTGATATTTAATAAGTTTTGCAAATAGTTCTGCTAAGCTCAGCATAAACTGGTGAACTCTCTCTGGTATTCATTTTGGGAATATTATTCTCTCTCATCTGAGCATTTCTCAAGGGCTTTCTTCTTACCTTTGGCAAATTTATTGGAACTTTACCATTGGGTCACCTCATAGAAGTCTGAAGTAACATGTTTAACTTTGAAATAAAACTCCAGCATGGTCTCACCATCATGCCTGACCTCCCAGAAGACCACCCTGGGTCACTTTACTGGATGGAAGACCCTCGGTACTTGCCGCTAATGGACTGAGTTCTAGTGTGGAGAAATAAAGTTGTGCTGGTAGTAAAGCATGCACAACAAACCTGTGGCCCTCAGCCCATGTCTGAGTCTGGTCCTCTTCTCTCCCTGTAGCACTATAAGAGAAGACAGGTAGAATAACCCTTATGTGTAGTGCCTGGGACCAGAAATGTTTCAGATTTTAGAAATTTTCAATTTGGGAAAATTTGCATAGACCTGACTCTTTAAACGCTGTTCAAAAACTTGGGAGATACTGGGGCATTTGGGATTTTGCAACTGGGGATGCTCAGTTTATATCATGTAATGAAAATACCCAAACTAATGAGACCTTAGCATTTGGGCTTATGATCAGGCCTGTCTTTTCAACTGAAAACAAGAAACATATCTCCAATGTCACCTCTAGCTTTGTGATATTATTATTCTTGTTGTTATTAAGGTGAACTATTATATGACTGTACATATATAAGCATGTCTTGTTGTGCTGGGTATTTTAAATGCATTATATATAACTAGATCTTAATTGAGCTATGTTGTGACTCATGAGGCCATCTTTTTCTTTTCTTACAGTTTTCTCCTCCTCCTCCTTCTTCTCCTTGATAGATACTAAGAATATTCCGACTTTATCTTCTTCCCCAGGAGTCATCTATATGACGTATGTCTTCTTGCTTTTTTATCAGTGCATATATCTGCTGCCACCAGCTGCTTAGTTCCTCTCCACTGCTTTTTGCATGTGCTTGTCCTATCATATGAGTGGCATTCTTTGTTCTGAATTAAATCTATTTCTTTCTTCTGTAGCCAGCTCCAGTTTATTTTCCATTATACATCCTTGATGTAACTAGGGTAACTCACACGTTATTTTTATTCAATTTAATGCAGACTCTTAGATGTTGGGGAGGAAAGAGACAGGGGATCGTTTGCCTTGCAGATTTATCATGCTATTATACCATTCAAGCTGGAGGGTTTTTTCCTCTGAGTCAACCATTTGATACCGAGGAGGTAGAACAAAGTCAACCAAGATGAACTCTTTTTCTTAAGTTGTTTTACATTTTTAATTAAGCTCTGTTGAATATTAGGTGCTTTTATATATAAATTACAGATCACGTATTTGGGATGAGATTATGGGAAGCTGAGGTCTTAGAAGTTATCAAAATAGTATTGGTGCCTTTTTGTACTCTGTAAAGGCTGCCATCTCTAACAATTTTGAGAACAATATACAGGAAGAAATTGTTGGTCATAAAAGGAGAGAAATTCAGGTGTTGAAAACAATCTGACCACTAGCTAACATGCTTCATGTTTTGCAGTATAGTCTAGTAGAAATGGAGGGAATCATGAACAACACTTTTCTTTCTTTCTTTCTTTTTTTTTTTTTTTTTGATAACAGGGATTGGAACCCAGTGGTGCTTAAGTATTGAGCCACATCCCCAGCCCCTTTTGTTTATTTATTTATTTTAATTTTAAGACAGGGTCTTGCTAAGTTGCTTAAGGCCTCACTAAGTTGCGAGGCTGACTTTGAACTTCTCAGCCTGCTGAACCGCTGGTATTACAGGTGTGTGCCACAGTGCCCTGCTGACCACCACGTTTTTTCCCTAGAAAGTGTCTATAGACTCTCAGAGGCTGCCCTCTTCCTGTTTTGTGCCTGAAGATATCTTATACCAGCTAGGCTGTGGTTGACTCTTTTGGGGCAAAGACCCCGAGAGTACACATGAACTACAGGAGAGATGAAATGAAGGCAGAGAGATTAAATAAAGCCTTTTAATATTCAGTTTGTTGGGCAATGTTGAAGGCATGCCTCCCAGCGAAGAATTTCACACTCCATTTGGAACTTCAGGAAAATCTTATACTTATGTTTTGGGGGAAGGGCCAGTTTTGCCTTATAGTGCGTCTGCTCAGTTGCCTCCTGTTACCGTGTGAACCATGCCAGTGTTCATTTCACATGCTGTCCTTGGTCTGCACAGTGAAAAGGTTGAAGAATTGGGTTCCAAGGCCTGGACAGGGTTCCTCTCCTCTGTACTCCCTCTGTGGTTTGTTCATGAAAGGAAAAAGGATCATAGTTTGGTGGAAAGAGCATTTGGCAGTCACAACTGGTCATAAGAAATGTGTGTGTGTATGTGTTTTGAAAGAGATCATAAATGCCAAATGAGATATAATATCTTCTTTGAGAATTGCAAAGTATAATTGAAAACATAGGTTTGGACAATTATTTTGAATTTTCCAGACCTTGGGTTCTGCAATTAGGGTGGGGTTTTTGAAGCTTCTTTCTAGTTGGCAACTCTGCGGAGTTGGCAGTCACTTCTCAGGGTCTGAGCCAGGGTCGTTGTGTTCTCCAACACATTTTCTCCAAATGATCTCACTATTGTTCTTTACATTCATGACTTTTAAAACTAATAAAATTCACAATTCTTTTAACTCAAAAATGTTTTTTAATGATTTTTGGAAAGATGAAAAAAATTATGACTTTTAATTTTTATCCACTCTAGAAACCTACCCCCTTGTAAGAAATTATGTCCTTAGGTCATAATGGGCCCTGAATAAGCCTTTCAGAGTTGAAGAGGGTCTTAGTTAAAACTCTTTTGATTACAAGTATTGGAAGACAGCCAAAATGAGTTTAAGAGAAACAATTATTAATTAATTTAAAAAGATAACTAAGATACCTCACACTGCCCCAAAAAAGCAGGCCTAAGGAAGATGTTAGGACAAGGACCTAGAGTTGCACTAGGAACCCAGTGTCTTGTCTGTCTAACTGCCTCTGTCTATATTCCTTCCCTGTTTTATTCCTCTGCCTCTCAGAATCCTTCAGAAAGAAATATATTCATTTCTCACTTCAATAGTTTACATGTTAAATTTCCAGATACAAACTCAAGAATGGTAGTTCTAGAATATCAAGAAAGAGACTGATTTGCCCAGCTTGGGCTTTCTACCAGTTAGGATTTAGTAGAGGAAACACACCCGTGTGTACTTTTTGTAGGAACCAATTAATGTAGCAGACTAGGTGCCTTCAAAAGCTGTGGATGAACTGGAGAAGCAAGTTCCAGGCTGAGTCTCTGACCTCCCGGCCACTTTCCCAGAGGAGTTTTTACCTTTAATATTGCTCTGAACAGCTTCCCAGTTAAAAGGCCTTTGCAGTTGCCTATCAACATTAGGACAGCTGGGGAATGGATATGAACTCTGCTCCAGAGTTCAAAAAGGGAAGGGGTTCACTTTGCTTTAAAGTCACAAGTGGGTCTAAGCAATGGAACCTGATTCACAAGAACCTAGGTGTGAGGCAATCCGGGAAATATAGGGCTTTTTAATTTGTTTTCCTACCTCACCAATTAGAATGGGATAGAAAGCAGATTGAGAAAGCCCATTTGTAGTATCTGTCCAGATGATATATCTGCTGGTGGCTGACCCAGATATGGTCAAGGAGACAGGGACATAGATTGTATAGTGGATGCCTGGGGCTCACCCTGTGGGTGGGAGGGATGGCTTCTAAATTGGGCAGATAATCCAAATGGAATTCACCACCCACCCAATCCTTTCACAAATATTTATGGAGGCTCTATCATGCTTTGTTAAGCAACATGTGCCTCTGACTTTGAGTTGGGTTCACAGGCTGGATGGTGAAGATGGGGAGCAAGAGCTTTTGTTCGTATTGTTCCATGAATTGTACATCTTTGTTATTTGTTTTACTGTGGAAACTTTCCTCCCCACCCCATGGTGCTAGGGATTGAACACAGGGCCTCGTGCATTCGAGGTAAACGCCCCACCACTGAGCTACATTCCTGGTCCTGCTGTGGAAACATTTTTATTATCTGATGTTTTGCTTTAAAATCAGCTTATGATCCTCAGTATTTTCTCCTTCTGTCATATAGCTGCGCATATTGGTGTTGGAATAAGTGGACAAGAAGGAATGCAAGCCGTCATGTCCAGTGACTATTCCTTTGCTCAGTTCAGATATCTGCAGAGGCTGTTGCTGGTGCACGGCCGGTGGTCTTACATAAGGATGTGCAAGTTCCTTCGATATTTCTTTTATAAAAACTTTGCATTTACTTTGGTTCATTTCTGGTACTCCTTCTTCAATGGCTACTCAGCACAGGTAAAATAACATTTTTTTTCATTACTTTTTATTTAGTAGAGCTTTTCTCTTAAGTGAACAAAACTCTAGTTCTACAAAAACATTTTATTTATTTATTTATTTTGGTACTGGGGATTGAACCCAGGAGCACTTAACCACTGAGTCACATCCCCAGACCTTTTTGTTTCTTATTTTGAGACAGGGTCTCCCTAAGTTGCTTAGGGCCTCACTGAACTGCTGAGGCTAACATCTATCCCATAGCTGTGAGCTTCCTGAGTCACTGGGATTACAAGTGTGCACCACCACAACGGGCATAAATTTGTTTCTTTATTTTGTAATTTGAGTTCTATGTCTTCTCACAGTTGGGAGCATAATTAAGAGTATAACTTTTCTAGAATGTTTCTGGTGCTTTAAAAATATTTTTATTTACTTTGGATGATGATACAGGATTTGCTTATATTTCTCTTCATTTTAAATTATTTTTCATGTTACCTTGTTATTAAAAATACTGATCGCAGATTGTTCAGCTGTGAATGTGTAAAATTCTATTTGACCAAGGCAAAGGGATATAGAAATTGTAGGTAATGATAGCGCTATTAACATCACTCCTCTATTTGATGGTGGTGGTGGCTTTTTTTTTCTTTCTTAGTTTTTGATGAATGAGAGGGGCACATATTTAATATGTTAAAATGGTGATGTAGCAGAAAAATACATGAGTAAAAATGAACCTGAGTCAGTGCCCATAGTGTTGAACTTTCTCTGATGCTATGCCACATTGCTGTGGTGTCAGAGGGGTCTCAGATTGAGCAACAGGAGAGCCTGGCACAGTGGGGCCTACTTCCTGTTTTCAGGCAGAACTGCATAGAACTCTTGTCAGGAGTAAGCCTGTTTCCTGTATCCCATGTAAGGAACCAGAGTGCTCAGTGTTCTTTATCCCTTTCAGAAGCCTATTTTATTTTTACATATATCTCCAGCATATTCTATTTTATAAAATCGTTTTATAGAAATCTGGCCTTGCAAAATAAAAGGAAACCAAAATTTAAATAGTACTTGTGTGCTTCTAAACTGGTTTCACAAAGTGTTGTAATTAATTAATCCTCCCATAGACCGCGTATGAGGACTGGTTCATCACACTGTACAACGTGCTGTACTCCAGCCTGCCAGTGCTCCTTATGGGGCTGCTCGACCAGGTAGGAGCCAAGGGCTGGGGGAGCTCTGGGTAGAACTCCTGCTAGAGAGGTCACAGCAAACACTTGAGTGCATTCTTTTGGTTTTCACTTTGTCCTGAATAAACCCTAGGACAGTTTGCTGTCAGGCAACAACTGCTGTACTTCTTGTTTCATAATAAAAAAAAAAAAAAGGAAGATTTTTGTGACTTGAATTCATTGGCAGTGCTTACATGTTCCTTTCAGACACTGAGACCTGACTGTTTAGACACCTGAGAGTCTAGTCTATCTCTATATTAGTAATGTTCTCATTTAAAAAATAAATTTTAACACTTTCCAAAATTTATGTGTCTAATTCCTAAATTAGTCTGTATTTTATTTAGTAGCAATTCTTAGAGAAGGTGCCTCAATAAATAAAAGGTAATAATTAAAAATTAATTTACCAACTTGTATGGGAATATTTTTTTCCCAAAGAATTCAAAGCAATATAAATATATTCTCTAAAGGGGCTGGCAATATAGCTCAGATGGTAGAGTTAGTAGAGTGCTTGCCTCACATGCACAAGTCCCTGGGTTCATCCCAAGCACCACAAAAGAAAAGAGAGAGAGAGAGAGAGAGAATATAAATATATTCTCTAAGGAAGTAAGAAAAAAATTCTCTTTACATTTTTAACATTTTCCATAAGCAGAAAAATAATAATGTCCTACCTAGTCCCTCTCTAAATTAAATATTAAATATTTATTAAATAATGGTGGATTAAAGCTATGATTGATCTCAGCACAAGAGAAATATTGTAGGATTTATTCCTCAGTTTGTCTTCTTAGAACTCAACAGCAAGTCACAATTCTTTATGAGATACAGACTGCAGCATATCTCTGACTTCTTGACCTGATGGACAATATATCACTCTAATTTTGTTTTCTCCTTAAGGATGTGAGTGACAAACTAAGCCTCCGATTCCCTGGGTTGTATGTGGTGGGACAAAGAGACTTACTATTCAACTACAAGAAATTCTTCATCAGCTTGTTACATGGAATCTTAACATCCATGGTCCTCTTCTTCATTCCTCTTGGAGCTTATCTGCAAACTGTGGGACAAGATGGAGAGGCACCTTCAGACTACCAGTCTTTTGCTGTCACTGTTGCTTCGGCTCTCATAATAACGGTCAATTTCCAGGTGTGTGGCTTCCCTCAACTGTGTCCATTGGCACCTGTATTTTTATAAATAAGCTGGCATGCACAGCCCGTTCTCCCTCCAATTGAACCTCTACCACTTTATAAAATGAGTGCTATTTTTGTCCCTTATCCCAACCCTATTTCATTCCTGGGTCAAGGATAGTTTGGTTTCTGATTGCTCAGTATTCAAGTCAAATCATGCCTAAAACACAAAATTCCATTTTCAGAATTCCTAGTTCTTTCCTTTCTTGCTAATTCCCCAAATGAGTGCTCTGTTTTCCTCTCATTTCCCAACAGATTGGTTTGGATACTTCTTACTGGACTTTTGTGAATGCTTTTTCAATTTTTGGAAGCATAGCACTTTATTTTGGCATCATGTTTGACTTTCACAGCGCTGGGATACATGTTCTTTTGCCATCTGCATTTCAATTTACAGGTTAGTGTTTTCTAAATCCCAAAAATAAATGAGCAGACAAATGTCATTATTTATATTTGGACGTAACTTCTGGGTATATTAAAAAATACACAAAGGGTGAATTATTGCTGTTTGGAGGAAGCCAATCTGGTTGTAAAACTTTACCATGGATAATCAATGTGAGGTTACAGAATATGAACTAGGCCCTTAGGATAAGGGACCATGTGATTTACTCCCCTGTTCTTTCCAGGCACCGCTTCCAATGCCCTGAGGCAGCCATACATTTGGTTGACCATCATCTTGACTGTTGCAGTGTGTTTATTGCCCGTTGTAGCTGTCCGCTTCTTGTCAATGACCATTTGGCCATCGGAAAGTGATAAGGTATGCAGAGATACAGTCCTCCTCTAATTCTTGAGTGTCCCCCACAGAAACCAAAGTGTTTCCCAACAGCACTTTTCCTGCAAACCTTAAACCTTATGGGAAGTTTGGTTAGAATGATTTTTATGACTCCTCCTCTCTAACTCCATCTTGCAAATAAGTGCTTGGGATTGGGATTTTTAGTTTGCCTGCATTTAAATACAAAAAAAAAATTTTTTTTTCCAAATGTAAACAAAGAGGGAGAGTAAACTAGTGAATCTCATATATTTACCCCTTCAAGTTAACAAGTGTTAGCATTTTGCTGTGTAAATAGTCTGGGTTTTTTCCTCTGTTTATTTAAAGCAAAATATCACCACCTTGAAGGAGCCTTGGGGTAACAAGGAACAGAAAGCTGTGAACTCAAAATGTCTTAACAATAATGCATAAAAATTAGACTTCACACTACATTGGTTAAGAAACTTAATGTTGCCAAGAAAGAACTTGGGTCCTTCTATGTCCTCGGAAGCTGGTGTCTTCATTATTAGCATCATCTTGGTGCTGGAAGCCGCCACAGAAGTTCCCAGCATCACATCTGATGTGTCAGATGGAAGTGGGGTGTGGGGAGAAGAGGCTCTCACCGTTCTGTAGCTTTCCTTTAAGCTCCTCCGAACGCTTCACCCAAGGGCCCCAGCACACTTCCCTCAGGTCTCATTTGCCAGATTTGGGACCCAGGCCCCTTCCTGGATTAGTTATGGTGGGAAGTCAATCAGGCCATTCCCTTCAGGGATGTGGCTGTATGGAGGAGGGGTAACTGTATAAAATCACTTTCACTAGAAAAAAGGAGAGAACAGATGTTAGGCAGGCAACCTTCAGTTGTCCCCAGAGCTCTCTTTGGCAGTGACAAAAATATGCAGTAGCAACGAGGACAAGAGGCCCATAGTTTTTTCTTCATCCTGTACCAATCTGATCTGTGACATGGAAAGAGCACTAGCTTAGGGAAAGTGGGACTCGTCCCGAATTCCAGCTGCCAGAATGTAGAACCGCCCCTGCTCTCCACGTCCTCAAGTTCAAGGTTGGGACACAACAGTGATGCCTGCATCCGCCCTAGATGCCCCATCGCTCCTTTCTGCCCTGCTCCTTTTGGCCAGATGCCCTCACCTGTATTTTCATCCCTCCCACTTCTCCCACCTTCTGCAGATCCAGAAGCATCGCAAGCGGTTGAAGGCCGAGGAGCAGTGGAAGCGGCGGCAGAACGTGTTTCGCCGGGGCGTGTCGTCTAGGCGCTCGGCCTACGCCTTCTCGCACCAGCGCGGCTACGCGGACCTCATCTCGTCGGGGCGCAGCATCCGCAAGAAGCGCTCTCCGCTGGATGCCATCATCGCCGACGGGACGGCCGAGTACCGGCGCACGGTGGAGAGCTGAGCGCCAGCCTCGCGGGTCGCGCACGCCCGGAAATGTCTATTTTTTTATGAAAGACTCTCAGGAACTTTAAAAAAAAAAAAACTGAATTTGTCGCAAAGATACAGAAGACAACAACCTTTATAAGAAAGGATCTGGGTTGAGCTGTTGAGCTGTTGAGCAAAGCCAAGAGACCCTGTCATACATCTGGTTATGTTGTTTGTGATTCAAAGGGAACGTTTCAATTCAGACTCAATCTAGGGTAATAGAATTAGAAAATGTCTTCTATTTCAGTTCCAATGCTATTGTATTGTAAAATGACAATTAAATTTTCCTGTCTGTGATCTTATGCATGAATTTCCCAGAGACTGTTTTCATAAGTGTAAGATTTCAGTCTGTTTTGGGTTTATTTCCAAGTTAAGCTGCACTTTACACATTTTTACTAATCCATATTTTAGCAACTTCCTCTACTACCAAGGGACTTGATTTCCTACTTTTTTTTAAGCACCCAAGTATTTAGAGACTTTTTTAAAAAGTTTCTGAAAACTGAGGATATTATCAACAGGCACTAAGAAAGTTACAGTTCGGAAAAATAAATTCTAGCATGCTATTTCATAGGAGGGTCTTTATAATGATAATAAATGTATTTCAAGAAGGCTGGAAGAAAAGATTTTGAATGTTTACACTACAAAGAAATGGTAAATGTTTGAGGAGATACACAAACTAGGATTTGAACATTCCACATTGTGTACACATATGGAAACATGTGATGGACAGGGGCTAGCTCAGGGTTAGAGCACTGCACAAGGTCTGGGATTCCATCCCCAGCCCCAAGTAAATAAATATAAATCATCACATAGTATCCCATAAATATGTACAATTACAATGTGTCAAATAAAAATTAATTTTTTAAAAAGAACAGAAGAATGCCTACCAAAAAAATATTAGTGTGCCTGCCTTTGAAGGGCAGTGTTCTTTTATATCACTTACCCCACTAGATATATGGTGTGGGGGGAGGAAGAAGCTACTCTATCCTTAGGGTGACTGGCCTTGATTACCAAGGTAAATGAGAGGTTGCTGCTACATAGAATAGGAATGTATCTAAAATGCAGGGGTCCTTTGGATGCCTTCCCTAGTGCTGCCTGGGAGCAATTGAAAGATCAAGTGTATAGTGGAGAAAAAAATGCTTAAGCAGAAAAACCTTGGGTATATCAATGGTAAATTGCAGAACATTTCACAAAACTGTCTTTTAAAAAGCAAACTTTTATGCCTGCCTACACATAAAGTATTTTATAAGGGCCTTGAACAGAAACGTACTCTTTATATATCATGATGGAAGAGGTTAGTGGGAACCTCCTTCCTTCCTTCATTTTTTTTTTAACTAAGTGTAATCACACTTAAAGTTTTTAAAACTAAATATATGGTATCTATTTATTTATTTGGCAATCTGAGGATATACTTTAATAACCTTTATTCTTTTTTGTTGTTCTTTTTGGTAATTCATGACAGTAGAATGAATTTTGACATACATACATGGAGTATACCTTCCCATTCTTGTGTTTGTACTTGGTGTAGAGTTACACTGGTCATGTATTCATATAAGAACATAGGAAAGTTATGTCTGATTCATTCTACTATTTTTCCTATAGGGAACTTCATTTCTAAGACTGAAGCACAGCATAACCTTTGAACTTTGAAGGTAACTTTAGGCAATTACTAAAAATATTCTCCAGAAGGTAATAGTTTCTTCTAGAGCCGTTTCTCATTTAGGTGAGAAATGGATCTAGAAGAAACACACTAGTTTCCACGTTCTATTGAAGATGCAGAAGTATTTTCAACAATTCTTTTTAAAGTGGGGCTGGGGAGTAATTTTCACCTTTACCATTAGGCTGTGACTATTCACATTGGTGCATTTCTATGAGGAAATCACAACACATGTATAAATGACACAAGACAGAAAAATATAATTGTAATTTTATAATGTATTTTCTAGGTATAATAAAAGAATGTGTGGCTATTACATGGAATTTCTAAACGTTTACAACTTTTATCTTGTAAATAAAAAGAATTGTATGTTTCTCTTTTTTTACAGAAAAGGTAGCTTGTATAATTTTGTCAGTTTCAGATTTCTCTCCTGTTTTTGAATTGTGGGAAAGGTTGATGATGCAATGTGTCAAAGACTTATACTGTTGGGTGCAATATTAGCAATTTTAAAAATGCAAATTGCTTCAGATAAATTATTTCTATATGCTGTAAATCTAAGATTGAATGTATATTTTTGTTTAAAAAAATAAATGCTTTAGTAAAATCTTTGGAAAATGTAATATTTTAAAATATTTTTCAGTTAGTTTTGTTTTTGTTTTTGTTTGTAAGTATAGAAGAATCTAGTCCTGCAAGATTCCTCAAGGGACTTAGGGGTTCTGTGCTGATGAGAATAAAGTTTGGGACAAGACACTAAATGTTAGTGGAGATGTGACTGAAAAAGGCGATTAGACTTTAGGAACATAAGGTTCAGTTGCTAAGATGAAGTCTGCTGCAAGGAAAATGCATGTTAGTATATTTAGACAAGGAACAATTTCTCCAAATGACATCAACTCTTTGGAACCATAAGGGGAAAGGAGTAGATGGTTCTGGAAATATATGATGAAGAGTTGGCAGAAAAAAGGGCAAAGGGGAACAAAGAAGGAAGTAGAAGGGGAGGAAAGTAGGTAAGGAGGAGGTGGATGCCCGAGGTATGAGCTGGGAGGAGTTGAGCACAACGACCTGTTGGGTGGTTAGCACCCAGACACAAGGGAAGCAGCAACCCCACCAAGGAAACGTGGAGGAGTCGGGAGTCAGGGAGGTCTTTGGGAGGCCTGATTAGTAGAAAATGATAAGAGAGTATCTGTCTGGAGGTGCTTGAGGTGGGAGGAGAGGGAACTGGCCATTAGTTTATGCAGTAGACTTGGAATAAGAAGGACTCAGAACAAACCTGGAAGATTTTCTTAAAAATATTCAAGGGTGCCAGGCGCCTTTAATCCCAGCTACTCCAGAGGCTGAAGCAGGAGGATCACAAGTTTGAGGCCAGCCTGGGCAACTTAGTGAGATTCTGTCTCAAAAAATAAGGGCCGGGCATGGTGGCACACGCCTGTAATCCCAATGGCTCAGGAGGCTGAGGCAGAAGGATTTCAAGTTCAAAGCCAGCCTGAGCAATTTAGCCTGGCTAAGTAACTTGGTGAGACTCTAAATAAAATACCAAAAAAGGTCTGAGGATGTGGCTCAGCAGTTAAGCGTCCCTGGATTGCTCTTCAGTACCAAAAAGAAAGTTAAAAAATAGTAATAATAACAAAAACAAAGGACTGAAGCCATAACTCAGTAATAGAATGCCCCTGGGTTCAATCCCGAGTAGCCCCCACACACGTGTATACACACATACACATGCAATGGACTATGCACTGAAGCTGTTTGAAGGGTATTTTTAACCAAAGAGCACCACCTAAAGGTTGCTGTCATATCTGTACTGTTCAGGAATGATAACTGATGGGATGAAATGATTCATAAGAGACTTCATTGTGATAGCAAAATGCACCCTAATGGAATCTAAATATATTCCAACAGTTGCTGCCTTCATGTGATGTGAATGAAACTTAGGAAAATTGTAAGACTGCTTCTAAAAGTCCTGTCAGAACCTGCTAGAAAGATATAACTACGGTAATATTTCTGGTACATTTACAAAACCAAAAGGTCTGTCAAGACACGGAACTAATTCTCAGGAAGAGGTCGAGGTTGGGATGCTTAAAAATAAACACTGCAAAAATGACTTTCTAAAAGATTTTTTCCAGGGCTGGGGATGTGGCTCAAGAGGTAGTGCGCTTGCCTGGCATGCGTGCGGCCCGGGTTCGATCCTCAGCACCACATACAAACAAAGATGTTGTGTCCGCCGAAAACTAAAAAATAAATATTAAAATTCTCTCTCTCTCTCTTTAAAAAAAAAGACTTTTCCAAAAAAGATATATAAATGGTCAGCAAGCAAATGAAAAAGATGCCCAACATCATTAGTCCTCAGGAAAACGCACATCAAAACTACAATGAGATGCCACTTCACACTCTCTAGGGCGCCATAATAATAGAAAATACATGCAGAAATTGGGGCCTCAAGCACTTTTGGTGAGAATGTAAAATGGTGCAGCCACTGTGGAAAACAGTTTGACAGTTCTTCAAGAAATGACAGTAAACTTTTGAAAAATAAAGAGGTATAAAGTTTGGAAATAATTGGAACTCAACTAGACAGAAAGGCAATAAATTATAGATATAAAATTGCAAGGAAGGAAATAAATATATTCATGTTTAAAGGTGACATAGTAGTATTCTTGAAAACCCAGGATATTCCATTTAAATATATGATAAATTTAATATGCTAGAGGAAAGAAAATAGTTAACTGTTCCAGCCCAGATGTATGTCTTTTTTTTTTTTTTCCTGGTGGTGCTGGGGATTAGAACCCAGGGCCTTGTACATGCAAGGCAAGCACACTATCAACTGAGCTATATCCCCAGCCCCAGGTGTGATGTGTTTTGTTAGGCCATTTATGTGCACACATATTTCCTTTACCCTCAGAAAAGTGTGAGTAGCATCTTAAACTTATGTCAAATAGATGGAAAGCCCCAAGAGAATTTGAGAGAATATTTCAGATTCAAAGAGCAGCATGGATTTGCCTCTAGGTTGACCAGTCAATAACTAGGCTAAGATGGCCTCAGTAATAAGATACAGGAAGAAATAACTTTGGTAGTTTTAAAATTATCAGGAATTTTGTCCCAAAAATCTGAATAACATAGTAACACAGATATTTATAATACATATACAAGGAAAATAAGTCCTAATATGGAGAGAAAGCCAAATATCCTAACCAATCATGGGGGATTAAAATCACAGAGATATTCCTGCCAAATTTAGGATAGACTATTTCATTCCTGATAACCTGCTTATGATCTCTAGTTGGAAAGAAATCAATTTTCTTTTGGCCTTCAATGCTTTTACATAATAGAAA